TAACATGGAGTATTGCCTGATGAGTAAGGTGTTCACGACCCCGAGACGGTCGTTGACGTTCAGGTCGCACGACAAGCCCGTCACTGTATCCTTGAACTTCACTGCCCGACGAAACATTAGTCGACCCGGGTACAGGTGACGGAATATATTGGCAACTGACCAATCGGGACGAGAGCCCTAGGTATGGCCTCCACGTTGATGAACATGGGTTCTGAACTACGCTTCAATGATTTGACGGTCTTAAGTGCAGCCGCGACAGCCCTGATGGTCTTGAGTCTCTCGGTGAGGGAGTTCATTCAAGCCACTCACTCAACATCGTACGGCCCTGTGTTATAGTCAATACCTCCCTCACACGGACGAACAAAGAAGTAATGACCGACCAAACAGATCTACGTCATCGTCTGGCAAAGTGCCGTTGGGTTTCTTATGGTCCTATTCAATCAACATATGAAGGTCGAAGGCACTCACAAAGGACGGACACTGCCTACCAGCATACATAGGTCAAGGTCACTGTCTGCGCTATCCGTGCCGTAGCAAGTACTCCCGAAAACCACTACTTCGAACCGTCTCCCAAATGTTGCTTGCATAATCGAATTGATTCTTCGTATCACATCCGCACGCGCCTTCAGGACTCTCGTAGGAACCCTAGGGATCTTCACACTCGTCAGTACTCCGTGTCTGACCAATGGAATACACTGACAGTAAAATCATCTCCACTTCTATCTGGTAGTGCTCGCGTAGAGTAAGAACGACGGCTGGCTTTAGTCAGATGCGTGCGCCGGGAAGAACTGCCAGCTAATATCGCCAGTGGGAGACTTCTGGTGGACCACGCGACGTGACAGGGTGTCCCGGATGAGTGTTGGTACAAGCCATGGGCTCTCGGGCATTGTTGCGTATGTACTGGGCGGTTCGAGCCGGCGAAGTCGCGTTCGTGAAGAACAGCTGATCGCCAATTCAGCAGGGATTTGCCCCGTTCCTGCGAGGATTCGTACGCTGGAACAGCCGACTCTGATTCAATTAGGCACATACCTCCAGCGACAATCCCCTCTCCTTCGTCGCAACCTCTGCAGAGGGCGTACAGGCTACAACAGTTACGCTGCTGTCCCCTCGATTAGTGAGCTTGCCCATGTTCTTCGCTTCCAGGCGCATGCCAGCCATCTGCGGGTGCCGCCGTTGAAGACGCGTCTTGGGAAGTGCACGAGCATGCCGCATGCACGATGAGCTCAATCAGGAGTCGAGTAGAGTGTATGTTCGAGAGAAGGATCCGACCTCGTAAAGGTGGGACGAGATGCACGGAACAACGCTGCGACACGGAGGCGATTAGCAAGTTTCGTTAGTAAGTAAGATCTCTCTATACGTTTGTTGCCACAGTATACGATCGTCACCCAGTTTTGTATGCGCCACTTATAGCCTCGCTTATTGAGGATACATTTTCATCACCGATCATTTTTGCCATACACCGTGCACGCTACGCCTCCAGCCTCCTTCCTCCACCGTCCCTCTCAGTCTCCGACGATGTCTCAACAACGCACTGCGCTCTGGGAAGCAGAGCTCGAGGAGGACCTGCAGGATGTTGACGTGAACCTTGCCATCGGAAACTATGGTCAGAACGGAATGTACGAAGACGGTGAGCATAGTGGTCGCATCGGAATGAGAGCGATACTCATTCTCCTGCAGCACAGCCTCGGATAGACGAGACTACGCTCGTGGCTGTTCAACAGCAGATGGCGCAACAAGCAGCCTTCTCTCAGGTGCCAGACGTCGTCAAGCGGGTGAGTGCATGCGCTGCGTCTTCGGTTCGCATGGTCCAACATTGCGCAGTTCATTGTGCATTTCCACAAAGCCGTGCTAGACAACAACCTCGCCGAAATCACGGTGGCCTACGAGAGCGGGTGGAATAGACTGACGGAGAAGTTCTACGCGAAGACGGAATGGCCAGAGGCGGAGGTGATCGCACCCTTAGTGAATGATGGTGAGCCTACTTGCGTTCAACGAGAACTGACTCCGCAACTTCTACGTAGACCAGATTTTCCTTATCCTCTACCGCGAACTCTACTACCGCCACGTCTACTCGCGGCTTCAGCCCGACATCGACGACCGCTTCCACTCGTACGAGAACAGCTGCGAGCTGTTCAATTACCTGCTGAGTGAGTGGCGAATGCTCATTGGTTCTCCGCCAGTCTGATCGGCCCTTCAGACTCGGACGGCCCCGTAGCTCTGGAGCTCCCTGAGCAGTGGCTCTGGGACATCATTGACGAGTTCATCTACCAGTACCAGTCGTTCTGCGTCTGGCGATCAAAGGTCAAGTCGAAGACAGACGAAGAGATCGTTCTGCTCTCCGAGGAGAGCCAGGTGTGGAGCTCATACAGCGTCCTGAATGTTTTGTACTCGCTCATACAAAAGTCGAAAATCCATGAGCACATCATTGCGCTACAGGAGGGCAAATCTGCGGAGGAGATCGCGTACGTCATTTGACTACAACGGCAGGAAGTCACTCATGTTTGTGCAGAGAGATTGTTGGCGAATATGGTGTCCGTCCATTGTACCGTATGCTTGGCTACTTCAGCATCATCGGTCTTCTGCGGGTGCACACGCTCCTCGGCGACTTCACTCTTGCTCTTAAGATAATGGAAAACGTCGAACTGAGCCAAAAAGTACGTGTCTCATCACTCCCGGAGGTCGTATGTTGACCCTTTCGCAGTCTCCGTTCATGCGTGTCACAGCCTGCCATGTCACCACCTTCTACTACGTCGGCTTCTGCTACATCATGCTCCGGCGGTATCCCGACGCTATCCGGACCTTCGTTAACATTTTGAACTTCATCTTACGGATGCGGCAGTACCACACGCGCAGTTACCAGTATGACCAAGTATGCCATCCGCTCGTCTTTCTCAACGTGCACCTTACGTTGTGCTGCAGATCAACAAAACCGCCGACCGAATGTACGCGCTTCTGGCGATATGCAGCGCCCTCTCCCCGATGCGCGTCGATGACAACATCTCCAACATCGTCAAGGAGCGATATGGAGATCAGTTCACCAAGATGTCGCGAGGGTGAGTCGTCACCTATCCTCTCTATCCGTGACCTCACGAATTCACCAGCGAGGAGGGCCTCCCCGCCGTCGAGGAGCTCTTCCTGTACGCCTGCCCCAAGTTTATCGCGGCCAACCCGCCACCCTACGAGGAGGGTGACCAGCTCGCGTTGTACATGGAGGACCCGCCGGTCGAGCCCGCACAACGGCACCTCGCCCTGTTTCTCTCCGAGGTGCGCGCACAGGCGCCGGTGCCGACATTGCGCAGCTTCCTGAAACTGTACGCGTCGCTCGACGCGGCGAAGCTCGCGAACTTCCTCGATGCGGACGAGGAGGAGATGGTTCAGCAGCTGATGGTCATGAAGCAAGCGAGCAGGAGCGTGAGTAGGGTTGACACAGAGAACGAGAAGGGCCTGTTGGACGGTCAAACGGCGTCGACAAGTGATCTAGACTTCGTGATTGACGAGGTTGGTTTCCCCCCTTCACACGCGGATGCCTTTGAAGTACTCACATGGTCCTCGTAGAACATGGTGCACATGGCCGAGTCGACGCTCGGCAGAAAATACGCAGGATGGTTCATCCGGAACACGGAGCACGCACAGCGTGTCTTCGATGCCCTCCGGAACAGCCCCCTTCCACCAAAAGCGAAGGCACCTGCGGGTATCGCGCCAGAGTTGCCGGCAGCTGCGCCTCGTACGGCCGGGCGTAGTGTCGCCTGGGGTGGTGTCAAGACAGCTTGAGTGCACTGGGAATGTAGAGTGTAAATACTGATCCATGTATTTCTTGCCCGCTGATGCTGTAGCCTTGTCCCGTCAACATTGTTTTGCATAATGCTTGCCACAGACATATCACATCATATAGAAAGCAAGACAAGTATGGATGACACGGTCCTCAATCATCTCCCATGAGCGGCTTCGTCAAAAGCCTGAGAATCCACTCCTCCAATCTCCCCTCGTTTGCCTTCAGCTCATCGAATTTATCGTCGAGTTTCTCCGCCGTGCAGTGCACCACGTCCTGGATCGACCCATCGTTGCGCAAGGCGTCCAAGAATGCCTCCGCCGCGGGGTCGTCCCCGATCTGGCTGACGCAAAACATGACCGACGTGGGGTAGAACTTGTTACTGTCGAGCGTCGCCCGACACTCGACAATCGCGTCCTTGAACGTCGACTGCGGCTCGCTCGTCGGCTCGCCGTCCGTGATGACGCACACGAGGTACGGCCGCTTGAACGGGTTCGTGGTATCCGCGAGCCTGTCGTACACGAACGGCTTCAGGATGTCGTTCTTGAGCGTCGTCCCAATCCTTGTCCCGCCACTCGGCGAGACCGATGAGATCGTCTGATCAATCTCCTCCGTCGTCATGTTCGATTTCGTGATGCGCGAGTTGATGAAACGCAGCTCGACGCCGAAGTCGTCGGGCACGATCTTCGTCGCGACGCGGGCGATCCGCGAGACGAGCTCGCGCTGCTTGATGTACCGATTGTCGGCAGCCATGGAACCGCTGTCGTCGCAGTAGATGATCGGGTGGTACAGCGAGAGGGTGATGAGGTTCTTCAGGTTCTCCGGCTTCCCGAGCGGGTCGGACTTGTTCTCCCGTAACGCCGCTGCGCGGCCAGCGAGCTTCTGGATGAAAGGATCGTCGCGCGGGAAGAACTTGCTGAGACCGGACTCGGTGACATAGTCGGTGAGTACGTTCTGGAAGTCCTTGACGGTGCGAGGCTGCGAGAAGCAGCAGTCAGTATCTCGTGGGCACATGGAAGTAGCACTGGTGGGCATCACCTCTGCGGTAGGGGCGTCGGGACCGGCGGGGGATCAGGGCCCTTCTGTGGCTGCTCATGACATCAAGACGAGGCCAAACTACCCATGCATCGGTGCACATACCTGATTGGTGGACTGGTCGAACTTATCATTGAACTCTTTCGCAACTTTGGGCGATAGGATGTCCTGAAAACCGATCAGCTGAGAATTTCAAGCTATGTGACCACGCGCATGAGCCCCGTACCTTCGCTACTTCCTGAAGAGATGAAACAGATCAGCGATTCGTGCATGTTCCGAAGCGTTATGCACAGTACCTTCACTCCAGTCGCGTCCCCATCAGCAAATGTGCACGTTGCTTATTCTGGGCTTAAACACCTTAATAAGTCGATCAAGGGCATTCAGTGAATAAGTGATCGTGCTTAATTAACGAGGTACCATTTCTTATTAAGGGGCGTGCTACTTGAACTGTCTTAATCAAGCTCGACTAAGTCGTGTGCTAAGCTGACATTAAGACTTGTAATCGTGGATCAAGTGGCCTTCAAGAACATCGATCTATCCATTCAAAACGTTCCATGGGACACAAATATATTCCGGAAATATGCCAATTCATTCTACAGTGTACAGGTCTGTTGTATGGAATTACAATATACTACTGTATTCACTGGCGTACACGAGCTGGGCATGGGCACCAATGACCATACAGAGAGCCGATCCGCGGGCAAGTAGGTAGGTCCATGGGCAATTGCGTGGACAGTTGCGTGCGTGGGCGGCTGGCTGGCCGAACAGGTGCACGGGAGCGCGGGCGAGAGGCGGTGCATGCTAAAAGGGTTGTGGGTGAGAGTGAGTACAGGTATGTGGACAGGCAAACGGGTGGGTAGGCAGGCAGAAAAGCGGGCAGGCGGGTAAGAGGGCGATGACGAGAGCGTGAGGGAGAGCGGGCGAGAAGGCGACGGCAATGGGCCATTGAGTGCGTGGGCGAGCGAGCAGGCAGGCGAGCGAGCTAAGCCAACGAGAAAGCAAGGGTGAGTTGCGGCGCGGGCGACATAGCAAGGAGGGCGAGGGCGGGTAGAGGGCAAACGAGTGAGTGAGCTAGCGATTGAGCGAAGGTGGGCAGGCAAGAGCAGGCAGGCGGGTGCAAGCTAGTGAGAGAGCGAGGTGACGAGAAGGCGAGGGCAGAGAGCTATCGAGAAGGCGAGCGCGGTGAGCTAGTGAGAAGGCGAGCGCGCGGATAGGCAAGAATGTACAGATCGATGGACAAGAGGGCGAGCGAGCGGGCAGGCAAGCACAGGCTCCTCCGAGTCAGGCGTTGTGCGCGCGCGCAGCATTATCTGGTGCTCGGTGTTCTCTAGCGACAGGTTCGGCAGGAGACTTGAAGCTTGAAGGGCTGTACTCACCTTTGTATCTCGAGCCGTGCAATGACTCGAGGCTGCGGCGCCGCTGCGCGCCATGCCGCTCCATATCTGTGCATTTAATGAGGAACCGTGACTTGGGATGCATATGCCATGCACCAGAACGTTGGACGTTGTGATTGGACTTGCGCGTTGGACGTTGGACGGGTCAAATGTTGGGTTGGAGGACGTTGACGTTGACGTTGAGCGCTTGAGCATTGCGGGCGACGTGTCATCGGAGTCTGATTGGATTTCCGTTTAGGGCAAGCCGCTGTGGCACTTAGCACGGAAACGACTGCGCCATTTTTCAACCTTCATCATCAAGCGTACGTCGTCCAGCTTCGTCCATGAACTGCTCGGAAACATAACTACGAGGCCGCTAAGTATTAGCCCTCGCTCCTGCCCACTGTCCCAGACTCTTGACTTGCCTTGCCGCGCTTTCACCCGTTACGCCGTTCACCTGGGTCTCCACTCGCCACTTCCCACCTCTTCTCACTTCTCGCGGCTCTGGCGACCCGCAATCTGGCCGTGCCGACTCGCACGATTGGGAATACAGGAGAGCATTGAGAAGTAAGGGTGTAGCGAGTACAGAAAGCGAGCAGAAGGCTCGAGATCTGCAGGTATGTCCTCTTGAATTGAAATGCTCATCTTGTCTCCGAGTCTTCTTCCAGACCCCACATTCCAGTACCTGAGCTGCCAGCGACGTAACGAGAAGAACGCTGTGCACGCTGCCAGCAGTGGACATGGGGCATTCGTTCTACGGTTCAGACATTGCATGCGATTCAGACGTGTAGCTGCACGTCCGAACACTCATCTACGGCCGCATGTCACGCAGCGGACACGCTGAGCTGATTTCCAGGTGAGGATGTTGCCGACGAGCGTCCCCGGCGTGTCTAACATCGTCACAACTTGCGAATGACGAGACCGCGGTGCGGTCTACGGGGTATAAGGCAGCACAGTGATCCGAGTCATCGTGCTTGTCGTGCGCTCTTCGAACAACCATAACGGGGCATCGCGCCTAGGTCGCGGTACGTCTTATGTGCCTGCGACTGCTACCTTGCGTGACGAAATTCACAGAGCGCGCCACGAACTGAATTAGATCAGTACCTCAGGTCTCGCCCACTTGGTCGCTTGCTCGCCGTTCGCTCACACACTCGCCCGCCCATCCGCTTGCTCATTCACGCACGATCGCCCGTGTACTTGCCCCACACGTTCGCGAATCGCACGTTCGGTGGCTCGCCCGTCAACTCGCTCGCTCTCCTCGGGTGACGATGACTCTACAGCAATCAGTATTAGCACAGAATGTGCTCACAAGGTGGGCTTTTCGTATTATACGACGAGACAATGGTAGCATATTAGTAGAGGGACTGGCCAGATGTAATGTACCCTCCTCGACGAATCTATATACTATTCGGTGGTCCGTGTCTCAGCTGCCTCGATAATCATTATGCAGACTTCGAGGATTGCATTCGCCAGAATGTACTTACATACTTGATTGTACGATGTTCCTTACTCATGCTTAATATCTGCTTACTTCTATCCTTACTATTTCGCGCTCGTTTGATCAAGTACGCAAGGAGAGTAAGTGATTTTAAAGCAAGAATCTAAGACGTGAAGGCTCGTAAGGTTCGTCAAGACGTGCTAAGTAACGTGCACATTTGCTGATGCCGTTTTCCCGATAGCTTGAATATCTTCCCGATGACACCCGTCACAGCGTCCTTGATCATCCCAAGGTTGATGTACGACACCACGAACAGCACGGTCGAAACGATGTAGTCGATGAAGCTGTTCCTGTTCGCCTTCCTCTGGTCCGCCGACAACAGCTCCTGCTCCATACCGACCTCCTTAGCTATCGTGCGCGCTGTTTGGCGCTTACTGTTCGCCAAGTCTAGCGACGCGTTGCGGTCAACAAGCAGATGGACGAGATCCTTGTCACGGAGTTGCTTCAAGGCGACCATGATCGCCGTGCTGTTGTCGTCCTGCGGGAACTGCGCGTCAACGTTCGCGCTCACGTCCAGGAGTGCCTCGACGATCTGGACTCTATCCTTGGACGGTGAGCGGGAACATGCGAAGAAGAGCGCGGTGCGTCCGTTTGGGTCGACGAAGTTGACGTCCACTTTGGGAGACGTGTTCTTCAGGAGTAGCTGGACGACGGCAAGGCGACCGCCCCAGCATGCTGCGGCGAGCGGAGTGACCTTCTTCGTTCCCCCGGGAGAGTTGATCAAGGTGGAGGCGGAGGGACCAGCATCCTTGAGGTACTTCTCAAGCAGAGTGCTGGTGAGATCTCCGCTGAAAGCGTCATCGTGAAGGTTCGGCATGATGGTGAAGAGTTAGGCAGGGAGGGATGGCAATGATGAGACAGCGACCGTCCATATACCTCTGTGGCCTTGCTGAGACTGCCACACGGCGGTGTTTGCGCAAATAAGGCAATCCCGCGGGCCTGCACCCGAGTTCGGCGTCGGGGTCGCACGAAGACAGGCCCGTTGCTCAAGTGGACGACGTTTACTGCCCAGAACAAGACCGCCGGGTGATGTGATCGGCGTTTCCCTGAGTGCCCTGAAGGGCCCACCCTTGAGCATCGCATTCCGCCGTTTGAGTCGTCCGACCACAAATATTGAGCAGAAGAGGCTTGCTGACTGCATTTGACCAACAACGGAAGCGAGGGCCGCGGCACGTCCTAAAGGTTTCCCGAGGCCGTCAGTCCCCGAGAGGGCAATAACTGACAATAGCTAGCATCAGTCTCACCCTTCTCTTCGACATTTCGCCGTTCAACGGGCGACCTGGCCAAACGCCAGCTTGGCTGCGGAACGTAATGTGACCGGTCGCTTTGATTTCGAATGATAATCAACGATGTAGCCTGAATGGAAGCTCGCTAACGCGACACAATCTGCGGAGGCAGGATCCGGCTGGGCCATCATTCAGTCGAAAGTACTCACCAAGCAGTGCCACGGAAGTTATAGGGAAATTATAGGTTGAGCCTCTCGCGCCGAGTCCATATTTCCGCACATACTTCCTGTTGTACACCGGATACATGGCGATAGTTTCGCAGTGTACAGTCTGTTGCGAAACGGAGCTTGAAACGATGGGGCGAGTGCTTGCGTGAGCGCTGTGGAGGTGAGGTACGAGCTGCATGGTAAAGTCGCATGTGTCGCACGTTGCGGACCCGGGCCTGTCTGCTGACCTTGATTCTCTGTCATTTTTGTCTTGAACATCTTCCCTGCCGACCTCGACGGACGCCGTTCATTAAGTGGTGAGAAAACCCGCTTCTCCAGATCTCGATCACTTTTCACCGGAGAGGCATGCTATCCAATCCAGGGCGCTTCTGAGGATCTCTGCAGAGCGGAGGACAAAAGATTGATGGCAGGCACCGACGACAGGCTGTTAAGCGGCGGTTCCCGACTGGTGTACTGGTAGCGCCTAGTAGCGTGCGTTGTTGTGGACGTCGTTGGTAATCCCTTCGGACGAAACTGGTTATGAAGACATTGACAGCCTCTTGTGAATGAGCTTTCAAGTTGTCAACCGACTATGCAGAACTTACATTGGCCCGACCCAAGGAACCTGGAGGTCTTCTACTCGAATGCGGGCATATAGTGCAGTGGACGCACTTGACGTGACACCTCATGGGCCATTGCTGCAGCGCTTTACGGAAAAGTCGCTCTTGGCGTCTTAAAATGGACAGAGGGTTGTCAGCAAGGGGCCTCGGTAGGAGTTCCGCCGTAGAACATACGTGGGCAAGGGATCCAGTGTTGACTCGATTTCCCAGAGTTCGATTGTCCTTGCAGTCGACCGGACCCCGCGGAGGCGCGATATGAACATGCCCGCCGACTGTCACAAAGTCATGGAAGACCAGCACGCGGTCATGCCACTGCACACGCATCCGTACCAGGCTGCATACGATGATGTGAATACGTACAGGCGTACTTGGTCATTTCGGGGAGGACGCACCGTCGAGGCCTGCAAGGCGATTCACCAAAGTTAATCGGAGTAGCCGCTAGGCTGACGGAGGCAGCTGTATAAAAGACCATCCGCGCGGCAGGCTCACCATACAGCAATTCGCTCGCTCTTCGCACCGCACCCCAGATCATCTTCTCTGCACTCTATCAGCACTCACCAGTCGTCATGTCCCAAGTGAAGGATATCGCTCGCGGCCTCTCCGCCAACGGCGCAGGGCCGACCCCCGCTAACAACGGAAACTACCTCCTCTACACCGACAGCGGCAAGCTCGTCGTCAAGCTCTGGACCGGGGAGGCGTTCGGCGACGAGCAGCTCGTGTCCAGCTCCGTTCGCGCCGGCTCCACCGCCGCCTACGTCGCCACCACCACTAAGTCCTACGTTGTCGGCATCACCTCCGGCTCGAAGCTCGTCGTCTTTTCGTACGACGAGGAAGAGGAGGAGTGGGCCGAAGACAAGACGCTCCCCGCGCTCGCCGTGCACCCCTCCGGCAAGCTCGCCGCCACCCTCTGGCAGGACACCGTCCGCGTCGTCTTCCAAGGCGCCGGGGGCGAGCTCACCTACCTCTCGAAGCCCGCCGCGGGCGGGGCGTGGGCGACCACCCAGCTCGCCAAGGCGGCGCAGCCCCTCGCCGGCACCGCGCTCAGTTTCTCTCACCCCGGCGGCGACGTCTTCTACGTTTCCGCCGCCGACCAGTACATCCACGGCCTCTACGAGGCGGAGAAGTGGGCGGACAGCGTCGCGGCGCCCACGCCGGTCGGCGTGCTCAAGCAGATGTTCGTCTCGACCGGCGGCACGAAGGAGACGGTCGAGGCGTTCGGGTTGACGGAGGAGAGCGCGGTGCTCCAGGTCCCCGCTGTCGGAGAGAAGGTCGTCCTTGGCGACGTCAAGGCGGACGGCACCTTTGTGTCCAAGGTGAAGGCGGAGTGTGTCAACCAGAACCAGAACTGCGTGATCGCGTGATGATACTGCGCGCACGTTGTGGATGTGTTGCGATCTGGATTCAAGTTCTGGAGACAATGTATGTCATGCACCACTTTTCTTCCGAACTCAGAGAACAACTCACTGACCCGATGTGTTTGCTAACAGTGTACAATCACTTCACGGCAGCACGGGCTTCGTTACGCCGGATTTCTTCATGTTGTCTAGCTATCTCGTTGTCTGAAACACCTCAATGATATCTCGTCTGTGCTCCTACTTAGAAATGTGCATGCAGTGGTCAGCATAGACTCGTTGAAACCTGGAATCGACTTACGGGTATTCAACACGTAGCTGCCATCCCGCTAAATGCTTCGCCAATCCAACGCTTGGCAACCAGTTTACCGTTGTCGGTGAAGAGCAGGTTAAAGCCTAAGCAGCCACCATAGTCAGCGCGAGTCGCTGCGCCGTTAGCGGCGAGACCGCGAGCAATGTCCTTCGTTTTGGACATGTCGGGAATATTTGGCTGAGTTGCCTCCTTCGTAGTAATGGCTGTCGCATTCTCGCTGTGGCAGCAGCCTTTACGAATCAGTGCAACTTGAATGTGCCTCCGACGGAGACAGTAAGTACTGGTATCCAGCGGTATGTCACCATGACATTCGTGACTAGGACAGCCAGCGTGTTGACTATCGCGTATACGAACCCGACCAGTACTTGACGCGCCGAAGATACTTAAATTCCGTTCAAGCTTCCTTGGGCCACGCTGGTCATGTTGATGGCGCAGCTTACTGGCAAATCCTCTACGCTAGCCCCAGGTAACACCTCAACTTCAACGTACACGCTGTAAGATGTTGCGCAGATGACAACTGGTCTGGTCTGACACTCACCGTTGCATTCAAAGACCGTTAGCTATGCCTTCGCCAATACCTGCAGGCATCTCCTGTCCCGCGCGAATGCATCCAAGATTTCGATAGTTCCAGCACTTCCTCTGATTCGGAGTCATCGATGTGCATATGCGCGGCCTGGTGTTGGATGTATGGGATTGATTGACAGCCTTTGTACAGCCTGAACCTTGCCACGGCGGAGTATGTCGAACTTGAATGCGCCCTCATCACTGACACGCCGTGTATTACATAAGTTCTTGTGGGAAAGCGCTGCTTCTCCAGATCTCGATCACTTTCCGCCGGAAAAGCGAAACCGGGAACTTCCGAGAAAGATACCGATCTGTTGTGCCTGGTTGATCAAGCCGTTCTATCCCAATCCGTACTATGTACCAGGACGCCTCGAACATCCGCGGCTCAAAACGCAAAAACGTCTGAGAAGGCGAGCGGGAATGCTTGAATCCATGTGCTGGCAGCTGGTGCAGAGGCACGCTGTGCATTTGACGTAAGTGTATCCTTCCATTCTCGATGAACACAATGACACGATACCGGGCCCAGCAGGAGAGCTCAGCTGATTTCAATACGCCGGATGGCAGCTTGAATGGAATAGTAGGCCATGCCTGAACTGCGCGGTGCTCATAAGACAGCCCTACATAGGCCACTCCGTCAAAGAAGACTAGTGCGAACTACATACTTACTAGCTCCTACACGGAAACCCGCGGTACTTTGTACGGAACCATTGCTGCCGTTATATTTCCCCAAGGAGGACTCGGAGCCGCGGGAGTCTGATCTCTTGTTCCACTACCTAAGGGCCGTTCACTGACTGCGAGTTCGGGACTCCCACGGCGTGCAGTAACTCTCCTCGCCGCTGGCAGTCTCAATAACTTACTCTGAACGTCTCTCTTCAGCTGCTACGTGTCCGTTGCATCGACACGCCTTTCAGTCAACCATGGTCAGGAAATTCTACGTCCCCGACGACTTGCAGCACCCCTCCTGGACAGGCGAGCAGCCGGATAGAGTCAAACCCACCGGCCTCACATTCGCAACCCTACCTACCGAATGGGTCGTGCAGATGGCATTCAAGAGGGGCACCGATACATTCCTCGGCAACGGTTTCTTCGTGAACATTCCTGGCGTACCCGACTACCACGTCATCCTCACCGCCGGTCACAATCTCATCGGACCTGACAAGGAGGAGTCGCGGGACATCACCGTCCGTGCGCTCAACGCTGCCGACGACTACGTCGTCCCCGCGGACAAGTACTATATCTGCAAGTCGTTCAAGGCCAAACCCGTAGAGAACGATCCGAATGACTGGGGTTTGGTCCTCTACCCGCGTGGTCTGCCCAATCTCTTCCCCGCGCGCTACCGCGACCCAAGCACGACGCAGGCGCAGAAGGACATGATGGAGGCTAGCTTTGGCTTCCGCTTCAGCCTGCGCCTTGGCCACGCGGACTCGCTGCAAGGCCAGGCGAGCATCAGCGGCTATCGCGACGTGTCCCCGCGCGGCGAGCCGAGGGTCTCCACCGGCACCATCATCGCGGCGTACCCAACGCAGGTCGAGTACAAAGCCACGACGGAGAGAGGCATAAGCGGGAGCGTCGTATGGATCGCGTACCGCACCTTCCCCACCGCGATCGCTATACAGTGCGTGCATCGATCCTTCGTCGCGCTTTCTGGAGCTCGTGCTCACGTTGCCTCGTCACTCACACACACAGTAACTACGGCCCGAAATACAAGGGTGCGGGCAGCCGTGGCTCGCGCATCACCGCCGACCTCATGCGCGAAGTGTACGGCTTCACGAAGGGGGCCTCCCTCGGAATGCAGCTCCGCGCGCACGGGACGCCGCGGCAGGTCCGCGAGCTCCCCCCGGGCGGGCTCTTCTTGAGCTTCCCCTCCACCCTCCCCTTCGCGCGCGTGCACCTCCGCTCCGGGACGCCAGTCGACCTCCTGCCCGCGCAGTCCGGCGGCGTCCCGATGCACGTCATGGCCGTCAGCACGCCCTCTGGTACGCGGTACGCGGCGTTCAACATCGGAAAGCGCGAGATACTGCTCAGGGAGAAGATCCGGGACGACTGTTTGTTCGAGCTCGTCAGCGGAAAGCAGTCGAAGCAGGGCGAGGAGACGATCCAGATCAAGATCCCGAAAGACTACGCTGACGTGGAGGGCAAGGAGAAGTTCCAGCTGCGCGTGCAGGGCACGGCCATCAGGCAGTTCGATGGCGACGATGCGGAGAGCTCGGAGGTGTCGTTCGTGGACGCGCCGACGTCGGATGCGGTGAGTCGTCATTTGTGTTCGTGCAGGAGTGAGCGCTCAATCGCGTTTCAGTGGACGGCCTTCGCGCTTCAGCGGTGAAGTCGGCTGAATCTGAACTTGATGCCCTAGATGCGTGTGTGTCGGTTCTTGGGTTCGTAGATGTTACACCGCTTCATTGAATGAGGAGCATCGCTCTCGAGATAACATGATACCCAGTGCTCGCTCCGTGTGCCATACGCAACATGCTGGGTATATTTGCTGCCCTTGTTCTCGATCAATGCACCGCCGACTCGGAACGGGAAGTCACTATCAAACGACAACATGTTTTACACTGGACGCAAATACGGGTGATACAGTGCCAGCCACTCCTCATACCCGCCGTGATCAGTCTCGTCAAGGGCTTCAAGACTCGCTATCCCTCCACTCTTGCCTCATACTAGTACTAACTTACTAGGATATACACCGCATTGTCGTTCCTTCACACTCGCGAACTTTATTTTTATTTTTGAATGCACCCGTTTAACGATACTAACCTCCATATGCGTCGAGAGCGACCTAATCAATTGGACCATGTAGGCTGGTCGGACCAGCTGCACGGTTATATACGAGATTTGCCACAGTCCACTGAGTCTGCACGACGCAGCCGCAGCGGCGGTCTGGCGCCTAAGCACTACACTCCCTCGGTGCTTTCCACTCATCTTGCGCTCACCTCGCTGTAATGAACGCGATCCAAAGAACCTCTCAAGAGCTATCCGTTGTCGCAAAATTGCAGACACTGGAACAGACCGGGTTGTGCGGTAGCTGCCACTGTGGCGCGCTCACCTACACCGCTACGTCTAGCCCAACATTCACCGGCTATTGTCACTGTACGAAGTGCCAACGGTTAACAGGTGTGTGTCCCAATCATCTTCTATGATAATCCGCCTCTAACCACGTGCTTTCATGTCATAGGCGGACCATTCGTACCGACCATCCATTTCCCGCTAGAATCCGTCGCTTTCTCCGCTGCTCCGGACTCTGCATTGCACACGTATACGCCAGCATCGCACCCACACGAGACTCGCTACAGATGCAACCTCTGCGGCGTCGGGGTCGGATCCGTGAACAAGAAAGAGGGACATACTGCTGTGTGGGGCGGAACCTTGACGCGGATACCAGTCGCGGGTGAAGAGAGCGCGGGGAGGATAGCGATGTGGGAGAAGATAAGTCCAGTCTTGCACTACCACTACGGAGAACGGATGCTGGACATCAGGGACGGACTGAGGAAGTACCGCGACAGGGTCCCAGAGGACGTCGGTGCACCCGGCTCGTGGAGCGTGCAGGGAGGAGACGCGGGTGAGACCAGCGACCCCGCGAGCAAAGAAGTGTTGGACGAAGCAGCTGGGCAACAGCTGAGTGGTGGTTGCTTCTGCGGGCAGGCCTCTTATACATTCTCTGCGACCGATGTCCTCAGGACGGCGTACTGTCACTGTACACAATGCCAAAAGCTTACTGGTGAGTGCCGATCGAGTACACCGTATCGGTTCCTGCCGTGGAGGCCGTGTACCATCTCTGCGCCTCTCTGAGATATCGCTAACGAGTTCTTGACAGGCTGCCCATTCATCCATACCATCCATCTCCGTTCTTCTGCCGTCTCATTCGCACTGCCGTCATCCGCCGCGACCGCTCCTACTTTGTCTTCGACCATCTGCGCTTCGGAAATCGAACTCAACTCGCTGCCGCACGTACTGCGCGCATACAACACACCATTGAAACCGCACAAGACACGCCTACGCTGCACGACGTGCGGGACGTGTGTGGCATCAATGAACAGCCTGACGGGGACGACGTCCGTTTGGGGTGCGTAAAACAGTTCCTGTGTGGCTTTTGCGCCCGCGCCGCTGTTCTGCACGCCTTCGCTCAAGCGCGAGTGTCGTGCTGAGTCCTCGCATGCCCGCCGCACATTTGTAACAGGTACTCACGAGCGAGCTGACTGATCAATGTCTTTGACTAGGTGTCCACCTCGCACGTTCGCCCAGCGGACGGATTTGCGAATGGGATAAGGTGCGTCTGACCCGTCGCTACGTACAGAGCATTGCACGATTGCATTGAAACACTGAGGCGTACCATTACTCCTAGGTCAAGCCGACTGCCCATATATTCTATGGTACACAGTTGGTCGATATCAAGGATGTATTGGGCAAATGGTCAGGATATGAGAACAACAGTGACAGACTGGATGTGTAGACTTCTGTCTGTAGGTCCGTGATGGCGAAGCACACGATTATGTTCTGATTGAAAATGCAAGAAACATCGATTCAGTGGGTGAATGCTCGTATTTGAATCTTACCTGACGAAAGTAGTAGTCGCTTACTGCTCATACAATGCCGAGGTCGTTATGGTCCAGGCGACCCCAGATTGATACGGAGATCCTGCCAGAATTGCACGTCATCCGAGCCTCCCGTTGAAATCGTACGGCACATACCTGTATGTGTTGACAGAGTGGGCAACAAGTGCACGGATTGTTGAAACTCGGTCCACGGACAGCATGCGTGCGCGAACGTACATAATATTGCCGCGTGAAAACATTGCAGGAAGGCTCGCGAAGAGCATGGTGAGGAAAAAATAGGGTAAAACCCGACAGCGCAAGAGTAGTCTGAATCGAGTTTCGCAGGAGCAGAGCTCCGCGAGCCGCGAAGTGAACTAACGGACACCATCCGCATGCACGCACCATTTGACCACGACAGTCTTCCTGAAATGCAGTGATATGCAGTGAATGCTTTTCGAGGACAATTAAAGAACTCGCCACATCCTCCTGCCGCTGATTGCATCCTCGAGCAAGTGTCGAACAATGCGAAGACGATAGCGATCGGCGCGTGAAAGCGTGAAGCTTGCCCTGTCCCCGCGACGTGTCCCAAAGCTGCATCCGTCCCTCCGCTTCACATAACAAGACCGCTGCGGCCAAATTGGACCTCGCCCACAAGCAGCCCTGCCGCCGCGATCCTTCGGCACTTGGACGTGAACCATGCTATCACTTCTCCGGGCTTGCAGGATGCAGCTGTGTTTCTGATACGTCGCGCCAGCCTGTGAGGCTGGGACCCTGCTAGAGTCGATCAAGGGGGACTGGAGTACTCAGACCTTAGCCCGCTCACGAATGCAGACGCGTGACGCGTCCTGTACGCTGTGAGCCTCGCGGCTTTTGCGCTGTCGGGGGGAGAGCGGGCACCCGTCGTGGGCGGACGGGAGAGACCGTCTCGAGGAAGACAATGTGGCGGCCCGTGGTTGTTATATATAGCGGAGTGCGCATCTCAGATCCAGGTGTGGCTGAGACGGTCTGGACAGTCGACACTCCGGCGGGAGCGGAGCAACCATCCATACTGCCTACATCAATCTTTATAGCAAAGACAGACCTCCACCACCTTCAGCTTCCTTCAAATCCGAAGGTGCCCTATCATGTCCCCGCACGTCCCTCACCGCAAACATCGACTTGAACTTTGGAAAGACGCGCTGGTTAATCGCCGCCTGAATGGCTAATCTGGTAATCTCTGCGCGCCGGTGGCTAATCTGCAATTCCTTGTCGATAACTGAAGGTCTGACTCGGACGATTGCCCCTCTTTTAGGGCGCGATATATAGCACTGGAGAGGCAGCTTGGGTTCATCGTGCTCGCTCTACGCGCTTACTCTCCGCTATGTCTCAGCCCAACTACAAGGCCGCCGATCCGATCCTCCTCACGCTCTTCGCCAACCGCTTCATGAGCGTGGCGGAGGCGATGGGCCGTTCGCTGCAGCAAACAGCGATCAGTACGAACATCAAGGAGCGTCTGGACTTCTCTTGCGCGCTGTTCGCACCTGACGGAGACCTGGTGGCGAACGCGCCGTTCATTCCCATTCACTTGGGTTCGATGAGTTTGTGAGTACACGAACTCGTTGGGAGTATGATTGGTCTGGCTTGTATATCCAGAAATTGGCAGTCGAGCGAGGCTAGACGTGCTACTCTCCCGAAGTCAGAGATGCGCCTGGGGGAGCGGAGAGTGGAATGTCCGTTCTCTCGCTTTACAGAGCTTCTTTATGCTGGTATCTGGATTGAGTGTTATAGAATGCACCCTCGCAGATCGTGGCTAGCTGCGACCCTCCCATGCCGCGTATCCGTGGTCGACAATTGTCCGGTGGGGAACTGGTATGGAATGACCAAGGACGCTGGCCGCAGCGAGAGGGCAGGCGCGCGCTGGCCGCCAAGACTCCTTGCAAATGCGAATCACGCTTTCGTGAATCCAGCATCTGGAATGGATGCAGTCGCTGTACGAGTACGCATCATGAAGTCATGCTTGGCTTCGGACTGCGGGATACCGCCGGGGTCCCGTAAATGGTGCCCCGGCCCTCTCACAGACATGCGCTCTCAATTGAGAGAGCGTAGGAGTCCGTCCGAGCACCTTCCCCTTGACCTAGTACCGAACACCGATGATGCAGTCTTGACAACGTGAAGGGTGGTATTCGTTGAGGCACGACGGTATCCTGAACAGTCTTACCTAACATTCCACATAGCCTTGTACGCTAAGTATGAGATGCTCATCACGTCCTACAGTGCGGTGCGCTACCAGATGAAGCTCCATGGCAAGTCGCTCAAGCCCGGCGACGTGCTCATGACGAACTCGCCTTGGGCGGGCGGCTCACACCTGCCCGACATCACCATCATCTCGCCCGTCTTCGACACCAAGACGAACGAGATCATCTTCTTCACCGCGTCGCGCGGGCATCACGCCGACATCGGCGGTATTCTCCCGGGGTCAATGCCGCCGACGTCTACGAACATCTTCGAGGAGGGCGCGCAGATCGAGAGCTTCAAGGTCGTGGACGGGGGAGTGTACAATCATGACGAGCTCGTCGAGTATATGGTCAACAAGCCGGCGCAGTACCCTGGGAGCTCAGGGTGCAGGAACATTAAGGACGTGGAGAGCGATCTGAAGGCCGTATGTGGTCCTCCTACAAAGGTTGAGCTCCTGTCACTGACCATCATCTGCTATCTAGCAAATTGCGGCCAACCACAAGGGCATTCAACTTATTCAAGCGAGTAAGTGGCTCTGATCCGGTGGACGCGCTGTCACACTGACGGTCTGATAGTCGTGGATGACTATGGGCTCGAGACCGTCCAGGAGTACATGTTCCACATCCGGTCCAACGCGGAGCAGTCCGTTAGGAACGTCCTCCGGGACGCCGCCAAGCGCGCAGGCACGAATGTGCTCGAGGCGATCGACTACCTCGACGACGGTTCTCCGGTGCGCTACCATCTCCTTCGTCATCTTACCACCATCCCTCAACCTTTCTACAGATCAAACTGAAGGTGACGATCGACGAAGCAGAGGGATCCGCCGTGTGCGACTTCACGGGCACGGGCTGCGAGGTGCGCGGGAACCTAAACGCGCCGATCAGCGTCGTGCACTCCGCGGTGATCTACTGCATGCGCGCGATGCTCGACATGGACATTCCACTCAACGCGGGCTGTCTCGTGCCCATCACCGTCGTCATCCCGGAGGGCAGCCTCCTTAGCCCGAGTCGGAGCGCGGCGGTGTGCGGCGGCAACGTTCTCACGAGCCAGCGCATGGTTGATGTGGTGCTGAAGGCGTTCAGGGCGTGTGCAGCGAGCCAGGGATGTACCAAGTGCGTGTGTCCATGGTTCATTTTTCCTTGATTGCTGACGTGGCTGTCAGCAACTTGACATTTGGCGCGGGCGGCAAGGACAAGGACGGCAACAACATCACTGGCTGGGGCTACTACGAGGTCGGTATCCCATACTCCATTACGTCCTGCATGTCTCTGAAATCCGCCACAGACTATCGCAGGTGGCTCCGGCGCTGGCCCCGGTTGGCACGGCACGTCGGGCGTGCACACGCACATCACGAACACGCGCATCGGCGACGTCGAGATCCTCGAGCGGCGCTACCCCGTGCTCGTGCACCAGTTCGGCCTGCGCCCCGGCAGCGGCGGGAAGGGGAAATGGCGCGGGGGCGACGGCGTCGTGCGCGAGATTGAGTTCACGGAGGGTCTCCAGGTGTCTATCCTCTCCGAGGTGCGTCCTTCCGTAGCAGCGTGCGTCCGCCTCAGCGGAGACTAACGTGTCCCGGGCAGCGTCGCACGCGCCAGCCGTACGGGATGGAAGGCGGCGAGCCCGGCGTGATGGGCCGCAACACCTGGGTGAAGCAGGCGCGTAAGGAGGACGGCGACTTCCCCGAGGACACCGGGGATAGCAAGCCCGCACCACTTCAGCCGCGCAAAATCAACATCGGCGGGAAGGCGACGGTCTGGATGGGCAAGGGCGACCGGCTACTGATCGAGACGCCAGGTGCGGGTGCGTGGGGCGCTGTCGAGCATGGCGAAGGACCCGAGGCGGACCATGGCCATGTCAAGGCGTGGGCGCCGAGGGGAAGTTTGGCAGAGAGGGAGGCGGCGCAGGCTGGATTCTGAGAGGGTGTCACAACTGAGTTGTAGCAATAGGTCGCTTGACAGATAAGTAACAAATCCGTCATGTAGCGCTGATATATGTATTCTGTAGTGCTTAGGTACCGCGCTCGTTCTGATTCTCGGTGCTCAAGTTGGTTCAAGCCTACCTTCCAGTCATAAGGACTAAGTCATTGGGTAACCCTTTTTGGTCAGCAACCGTGACGGAGAAGACTAGTAGTAAGTCATTGGATCTATCACGTTTCCAGCCACACCCGATCTGAGATACGCCGTCCGCCGTATATAAGGCAGCAGCCACGACTGTCTTGTCCTCGAGACGGCTCCTCCTGTCAGCCCACGACAGGAGTCCCTCTCCCCCCGACAGCGCAAAGGCCGCGACGCTCACAACGTACAGGACGCTACACGCGTCTGTATTCGTGAGCGGGCTAAGGTCTGAGAGGTCCCCCTCGATTGGCCCCAGCCGGGTCCCAGCTTCACAGGCTGGCGCGACGTACCAGAAACGCAGCTGCATCCCGCATACCCAGAGAAGGCGTAGCATGGCCCTCCATCTACTTATGGGAGGGTCTCGGCCTCGTTTTGCTTGTGGGTGGGCCATGACATTGCCTGTACCGGTCGGCCATGTGAAGGCGGAGGGTCGGGGTGCAGCTTTGGAACACGTCGCGGGGACAGGGCGGTCATCTTGCTCGTACGTGCCCACCTCTGTCGTCTTCGCAGTGCTCGACTCTTGTTCGAGGACACCGGTAGCGTCACCAGGCGGATGTGGCGGGGTTCTGCCTCGAAAAGCATCTGACCTGTAGGAAGACGAGAGTGGTTCTATGGCGCGTACGCGCGGATGGCTGTCCCTTAGTTCACTTCGCGGCTCGCGGAGCTCTGCTCATGCGAAACTCGATTCAGACTACTCTTGCGCTGTCGGATCACAGCCAATTTTTTCCTCACCGTGCTCTTCGCGAGCATCTGTGGTTTCTACCTGTGTCGGCTCGGTGTCACTCCAAGTTATGGCTTGCGCCATCGATTTCTTTGCACGTATGCTTCAACTGTACTGTTGTACGCCTTTTGATATGCGTTCACCGCGCTTTCTGTCTGTCTACGCAGGTATGTATGTGTAGACCAACTTTTACGGTGCCTAGATTCAAAAGAACTTATCCAGTCCAAGTTACATATACAGGATTACATGCAGCCGATATATCGGGTCTGCCAAGGTTTTGCGTACACTACCGTTCCCGGCTTATCCATGCGATTGCAGTATCATACCACGATGCAGCTGACGGAGATGAGGCTGCCCTAGAAAGTCGGGAAGGTCAAACCGGCATGCAAGCCACCCCGCGAAGACGGGCACTTACTATCCCATTCTCTTCGCAGCACACAGGTGTTTTGCTACAGACTTCGGCGACAACAACGGGGTTGCAGCTGATGCCGACGAGGCCGTCAAGCCCCTGCACCATGACACCCAGAGCTCCAAGAATCGAGGAAACCCGCTGGACCCAGCCTGTCGCAGCCATAGTGTGCGAGCGTGAGTCCACCGGGTCGACGGGGAGAAAAAGGAAGCGCGCGTACGTCGCCGACTTGTTCGCAGCGCTGAGCCCCGCAGCCCGTGTTGCAGCTGCTGACGGAAGTGGCTGTAGGTGTAGCGGTGACGGTCACCGTCTGCGTGGGCTCGCTGCCCAACCCTCCGGGGACCGCGGCGACGGCCAGTGCGAGGGACGCGGCGATAAGGATGCGGGTGATTGAGAACATGGCAGTGTTGGTGAGTCTGGACGAGCAGATGGATCACTGAGACGTTTCAGTAGAGCTGCGCCCTGGGGAATAGATATTGAACAGCGGAGGGGCCTTTATGTAAACGACGGGATGGCGAGCGTTTCCTTCGCGCGATTCTCGGGGACGAATCATGCGTGCATGGCGGTCGAGTTGTCGGCTCTTGGATGTTGGGATCTTCCCAGTCACGCAAGCCCGGGACATTGACATGGATTGAGGCAAGAGCCGGTTCCACACACTCCGTACGTCCTGCCAAAGTTACTATTGAGTAGACTGAAGACCTCACTGCAGTGGAAGCTCGGCGCGAAGGGGCACGCGTCGTCACAATTGGGGAACAATCCTATGCTCCTTGTCGAAAGACGGACCTCCAGAAGGGTATACTGAGTCGGAGCTTCGGAATCAGATGCTCGAGCTCGTGTTGATTGGATTCCATCATTGGGGGACTCTGGCTTGCCAGGCAATTTGATCTAGTAAGAGACTAACTTTCACGCCGCGTCTCTTATGGCAAGACCTTGAGCTTCACCAAGACATGTACTTACTGCCGATGATGCTCTAGTTGGTCGGTCTGACCACCGGGTTGGCAAGCGTTCGACCTCGAGAAACGAGCTCCGTCGCGACACCTGTTAATTGTACCTCGCTTTCCGTTGCGTCGCCGCATCCCCAGGATCATGTCTATTGGACTGACGCTGCGAGTACAGCGCTGACGGTGCGCGAAGGCAGAAAACTCAGCTTGTCAGGAGAAGCCATTTTCTCCTTGCTCCAAGTCTTCGTGGACGCCGATAAGAGAAGCCCATCACCATCTTGTAAACTTCTCTCGCATGTGTGGCGCGCATCTAACAATGAACTAATGACTAGTCACCATCAGCGAATTATATGACGGTCGTTATCGCGGAAAAATGCTTACACTTACGCCTTAGTTATCGCGTAAGATTTGCTACTTAGTTGACACGTGACCCGTCCACCTCGGACTTAGATTCGCTCCGTTTCGTACACTTGGTCTCTACAATAAGTAATGGATATTTCTGGCCTTGTCAACACTGTATATAGATTACAGTGAGTCACAGATCCGTTGTCTGCTCATGCTAGATCACTTGATTCTGCTTCGAGGGCTGGTGAATTGCCTAATGCGGAATCATTAGCCAATTGTGGCAACTCTGTCTGCGGGCCTTTACGCGCGCTGCTGCTCATTGCACGGCGAATCCGGAAGCCCACAAATAATTCTATAGAAGGGAGTCTGTGAAATTCCTCTCAGCATATCATCCTCATGACCCTCATCATCGACGAGACGTATGGCCCGGGATGCTTCAGTAGAATCTCCGATGAGAGCCATAGCATGAGCCTGTGGTTCTCACTATATCGAAGAGAACAGGTGATGCAACACAAAAAAAAGGCGTATGAAATTTATGAAGAGACATCATACATGAAAGAGAATAAGGGGAAAACGCCTGGCGCAGCGGCCCTGGCAGGCGCGATGTTCATCCCGATTAGGCAAGTACCGCATCGGCGCTGGACGGGCGCCAATCACACTAAATTCTAAGTCGGGAAAGTAAGACTTGCCGGTAAGTATTTTTCCACGAAAACGTCACTCATAGAATTACCACCGCATGGCGTAAACTTACAAAACTAGACTGCCACATAGTCGAACTGCAATTTATTGTATTGTTCTCTAGACTAGGAATGTGCTATGAAGCCGCGAGCACGCAGTCCATATCGGCGGTCGTGTATATCGACGAAAAGGAGCGGGTCTGAGTCGGATGTGGTGCGTCTGTAGCATTACTAGGGTGCCAGTGATCGACAGGTAATGCATGATGTATGCGCATGAACGGCAGTCCGTGGTGTGGTACGTCATGCGAGGGCTGGTACTTCGATTGGCTCAGTGCCCGGCCGTGTCTCACAATAGCTCTCACAATGCGGCTGGGAATATACATTCGTAGCTCTCTGAGTAATGCAGCAGCGTTCCGCCAAGATCGCTTCACTCAGCGTCTCCGCAGCTTGGATAATGATCTACGAGTCTACCGTAGGCGTATATAAACATGGTGTTCATCGAAGGACTGCGACCAAAGTTCAAACGTACCCGGGGGATGTCGAAGCGACATCCAAAACCACTCGCAACGCACTTCAGCTGCATGAGGTTCGAAGGTCACCGACCCGGGCGGCGCCATGTGCGACCCGTTAAGCAGCGCAAGATCCACAGGAGGCCGAGGCTGTCCGGTGTGGCTATTCAACGCGTGAAGTCAGGGGAGGTCGCTGGCTTCGGAGTCGCCACTGGCATATCCGATGCGCCCAAATCCTCAGGCTGTGCCAACATGCTGGCGATGAGTAAAGCTAACAGTATCGACAACTAGCTGTCATCAATTCATTGTCAAGGCTCACAAAAGAATGAAGAGGGACGTCTGCTTGCGTCGTCGCGGCAGCGTCTGTCAAGTTGGATTCAACACTGGTCGCCAGACGCGATCACGTGAGCCGGTGTGCGCGCGCTCGGCGCTGGCAGCAGCTGGCAGCTGGCTCGTACTGTCGTCTCCCTACATCCCGGACGGTAGGATAACGCGCTGTAGACTTCTCAGCACCAAGTTGGCATGTATCACTACACCTTGGACATCAGTTACTGCGGAGAGAAGGCGAGACAGGCTGCCTTGCACAAGTCCGCGAACAGCGTTGAACGGTTTGTCGACCGCGACCTGCGTGCCTCACAAGGTTGGCGTGGTAAGCTTTTGGCGAGGAAGAATACCGGTAGCGAGATGCACATAGGATACCGTGAATCGTAGTCATGACGATCTCATGGTATGTCCTGTTTCTCCAAGCGAGGTTGCCAGGGCCCTCACTAAATTATGTGTAGCGGCGAGCCGTCGAACCGTTTCTGCCAAACATATGGCGTACATGGGAAGAGCACGGGGAAACAGATCGCAGGCTGCGCGAGCTAGACATGTGAGTGCAGCCAGCGTATCGGCCGTGAGCACGTCCTCAGGCGAATCATGCAGCGCGGAGGCTACCGCTCATATACAGTGTGTTCCTTTGCTTGATTTTGCTACACTTCCTGACATGCAGCGTAGGGAAGGGGTGGACCTAATTTTAGGGTTCCTGAAGCTGCCGTGAGTCCTCTCGCGCGTGCGCCGTCCCCGCCTCCGTCGCCGGTCCTCTAAGCGGCCCCGTTCGCCTGACTGCCGACCCGCCGACTGTCAGCAGAAGCGGTCTCGCCCGCAAGCACCTGTCTCCGTGAGAGGATCTATGCCTGTGACTGAAAATGATCCTCCGATTGCTGGGCCGTCAAGGATCGTCGCGCAGGGACACAGGGATGATCGTCGAAGTAACGGAGCATCCGATCCTCGAGTGCGTTTCCTGGCTCCGTAGCCTCGCCTTCATGCGTCTGACTTGGCGTGCGTCGCTCGCGCTGCAATAGGCTCCCGGGTCCGTCCTATCTGCGATTGTGAACATCGCTCTCGTCACCATCAAGGAGGAACCCACGGACAATGATGCTCAAGTTCTCCTGAACGCAGACTCTACGTACCCGGAGGAGAACGACCAGGGGGCCCAGGGAGATACGGCGGCATCTCAGACACACGTGGAAGGCAGTACGGCTGGCAAACGGCGTCGGCGCGAAGCCCGTGCTGGTGGACACGCTCAGGAGTGCCCTCACCGCGGCGGTCACCGTGCAGGCGCGGGAGGCGCAACTTGAGGCGGACGTCGCATTGTACAGAAGCCAAGCGGAGCGGTTGGCGACCCGCGAACGTGAGTTCTGTGAGAAGGAGAGCGCGTTCAGCGAGCGGGAGAACGGTGGGGCCCTGTCTCGGTTGCCTTCGCGAACAAGTGCTGTTTTGCTGATCTCCGTCGCTGAGCAGGCTTCCAAGTACAGGCGGCGCGGAAGGACGCGGAGCTGGCGGAAGCGCGGTATCAATGGGCGCAGGAGCGTATCCGGGTACTCGAGACGAACACAGAGAAGGAACGGGTCGCGCGTGAGATGCGCGAGGTGCAGGCACTGCTCGAGCAGGAGAAGATGGAGCGAGCGCAGGGCGAGGATGCAGGGCGGGCTGCACAGGAAACCATTGCTTGTGAGTGGGTATGCGACAGTGGAGCTGAGTGCCAGCTGACGGGTACCTGGACAAGCCCTGCGAGCAGAACGAGATCGGCTTCAGACAGAGTTGCAGACGGCTCGCGATGCTGTTGCCTGTACGCGCTATCCGTCTTTCAACGCTCTATCGCGGACTCACTCGCCCCTTTCATAGCGGTGCAGGCACAATGGCATTCGGCGCATGAGCGAGAGCTCAAGGCCGAAATCGACAAGCGAGAGCGTGCAGAGCGAGTGGCGCTGGGTGAGTACCAATAATCATATTTGACTGCACCCCGCATATGCTAATTGCACAACGCATTCTGACAGAGCTCGGCAAGAAGCTAGTAAGGCTGCAAGTGGACATGCGGAGTCAAAACACTGGTGCGGCACTCGCGTCCGCGTATCCTCTATTCGTCCACTGACGATACACCCGATAGCCCTCCGTGAGCAGGTTGAGACGCTGACGAAGGAACTGGAGGGCGAGCGCGCTGAGTGCTCAGCTAGGCGAGAACAGCTGGTGATGGAGGTTTCATGTGGGTATCAGTCGTCACTGCGTATCTTACGGCAGACTATACTAACATAATATCCACTGGCATAAGCGTTGCGAGTGCAGTTGAAAGCTGCCAATGAGGATAAGACTATGGGTGCGCACTGTGCTGTCATATGCTGCGGAGCTGTATCAACGAGTCGCGTCCCCTTCCACATAGCTCCGAGAGATTTCCGCGGAGGTGAAAACACCCCAGGCAAAGACACTTGGTGAGTAGCAATCACTTCTCGTAAGTACGATGCTCGGAGGCTTACCGACCTTTCGAACTGAAGGTCTCGAGACGCAGCTGCGCGTCGAGCGGACTGCACCCGGGGAAGCGGAAGGATGGTGTATCGACGCGATGACCGCCGAGGCTGAGGCTGAGCGCTGAGCGCGTGCGTCGTGAGCGAGTTGGGCGCTGTCGGGTTGGACCAGTGTCCCGGTGACGGTTGAGGTACATGCCAGTGCTGCTATTGCCGTGACAATATACACGTTGTGTTGTTTTGGGCCTGAGGTTGCGACACTTGCACTCGTGAAATTGCAGATACCCGCTGGGATGTCAATGGTGGTCACCCACTGCACGTCCAGGTTGTACTTCAGTGGTGATTACTGAGTTTGGTTGCCTCATCATCGGCATAACCTTCTAGCGGCTTAGCCAAGGGCTCCAGAGTTCGAGCGACCAAGCCTTACGCGCATGGATTTGCACAAGATGTGCATTGCAATAGTATCATGGGCGTAGTACAAGACAGAGAGAACCTAGTAGAGTCAGATGAGTGGGCAACGCGTAGCCATCTGAATCTGAGGTACAAGTGCCAGTATAAAGGGGGAGTGTCTATCTGTGGGTCACCTTCCTATCGCCTACGGCCACGATGCGGTCATTCAAGACCTCCCAATACGATTTCTGAAATCATGAATAGAGACTGTCCCTATACGCGGACACGACGACTTCTCTCGGGGTATCTTGGACGCATGGACGCCTGTCGTGATGGAGCTGCGAGCCCGTGCGAGGAGCCCGGGGCGAGGTTTGGGTGAGGTCTCGCAGTCTCGCGCCCACAATACAGTGTCTTGCTCTGCGCCGTTGAACGTAGATTCGGCTATAGCTAAGTGAGACGGGCAATCGGTGCTTCGGATAAGCTGACGACTCACGCCTTGTCAGATATAAATATCTTTATAAGAAACGCGGAGTAGACCACGGTCGGCCCACGGGCTGAGGAGGGTGTTGAACGAAGCAGAGAGATTGTTGATAATGCCATCCTTCTCCTCCCGGTCACAACCCTTTGGGGGGTTGAGAGTCAATTGCACCTCGACTTCAAGTAGCGCCTCAAAACAGGGGCGACGCATGACGTCGTGCAGACCCTTCAACTTCAAGTTTGCCCTAGGCCTGTCTAGAGATCTGTAGAGGCCCGGCGTCCCGGCGGCGATTAAACTGATCGTGATCTGCTTCAGCTGATGGGACTGCGCAGTGGAGAGCGTGGGGTGTAATGCTTCTGCGATTGTAGGCAGGAAGCCATATGACTGGTACTTCTCGTCGCGGAAACCTATCTTGAAGTGCAAGAATTCCAATGCAGTGTTGTGCTCTAGATTATTCGTTACTACGACATGCATGATCGTCAGATACGTGATGCAACGCAGAGGAAATATGTGACAGACCAAGGCTTGATATACAGACACGAGTGAGGAATTGTCCAGCTGCTCTGAGGAGTCCGTCTATGTCAACGTTGTTCTTAACCAGTGAGGACTCTTCGCAATCCAGCTCGTGACGCTTGAGGCTATTGTCCGGTCTGCTGAAGGGTTTACCGCAGTACTTGCACTGGACAGGGCCACCAGTATGCTTAAAGTGGACCTTTGAGATGTGCCGCGCCAATTGGTAGGCGGATAGGGTCAGGCCACACTTGACTATGCCATCATTCCAGTGGCACCGAAAGAGATCTCGGCCGTCAGACTGACGCAGGGCCACACCATGATGCTTCTGGAGATGATGCATGACGACAAAACTGCTAGTGTCGTCGAGGGAAGTCCTGCAGTTCATGTACCGGCAAAAAGTTGAAAGCGGGCTAGAATCACGATCGTCATTTCTTACACTACAGTAGCATACACGAGTTGAAGGAAAAGACATACTGAGAGCCTGAGGATCTTCGAGCGCTAGGGTCAGGGAGAGACTCGAAGTGACGTAGGCTTGCACAGATGCCTGAGCGTTCGAGCCAGTCAATGATGACATCGAATGTAGACTTCGAGCGATGGTCGTCAAAATCGATGCCGAGCCGTTGAAGCTGAACTCGAGTGTGTGACCTGGACTGAAATCGTCGAACATCCGCGTCGCTCGCAGATTTCAGCAGAACGAATTCGCCGCCACGCAATGTGATGTCTTCGAGGTTGGGGGAAGCGGAGATAAGCCGCTGTAGCTCGGAGATGCTGTGAAATTGGAACCTGGACAAATGCAGCGTCTTCAAGGCCTTGAACCTGGACAAAGTACTGAAGAACGATGTCGGCATGGCAGCATGTACTAAGCCCCCATCGATCCGCAGGCTCTGCATGCCAGGCATTGCAGCGCAGAAAACGGGCGGTAGTGCATGGAGGAAGCGGTCACGGCCATATGGGTGCCCCGCCAAGGGGCCGGCGGGAAAGTAGCCGTCGGAGATGACGAGACAACGCGTGGCCGCGAGCCATCCTTTGACGCGTGCAGATGTGCGTAACTGCTCCGTCAACATAGTGAAGCTCTTTCGGCTGCGAAGTTCGACAGTGGAATAAAGGAGTTTGGTGGCGAGTTTGTGCCATGTCCAGCAGACCAACGCAGTGGTAGGCAGCGCGAGATATGTCGTCCAAGCGATAATTTCACTGACAGTTTCGACTGGGATGCGACGAGCGAGTGCGAGTGGCAGGGCGCTAGTCAACAGGAGGTGACCACTCGCATGTAGAGTCTGGGGGACCTAGTATGCGCACGCGTCAGACGGTGTCAGGCAATATGTACATCAGACACGCACCTGCGAGGAATCTTCCATCACCGTCAGTCGGGGATAGACTATGTGAAGGCGGTTAGACGAAACAGTATGAGGAACGGACAGGACAAGGACGACGGGGAGCGGAGGAACAGGACGATGTCAGGATAGAGGAGGACAGGAGGCTAGATAAGGACGGGAAGAAGATAAGGACGGGAAGAAGATAAGGATGGGAGGAAGGTCCCGCACGAGGCAGACGCATGTCAAGAGACAGGTTCATTAGTGCAATAATGCACAGCCAGCCTGGATCTAGCCGCATGCTCACCACCAGCTGCAGCGTCGGACAAGCTCAAGCTATTCACTGCAAACAGGTATGGGCCCTGTCTATGTCATCGGCCACACGCCGGAACTACTCACCTACACGTTTCCAAGTTCAAGTTTGCGCCCATCTCTCCAACGGCAAGAGAGAGAGCCTGGAATCCTTCACCCGTCCTCCAAAGCTTCACTCGCCGTCAATACCGTGACGGGTAAAGTCATACAGTTAGTGTACATGCGTATCACGAGTAACCGAATACCTGTGCGACGTAGTTTCTGTCAAGCCTCTCCGCAACCTACCCTCGAGCTAGTCTCCCCGGGCCCTAAACACGACCTTGAGTGGGGAGGGCGGTCGTGTATGGCCCTCGAGCTCTTTCCGCCGAAGGCCAAAATATGAATTATGAGCACTGGTGTCGTTGCGATGGGCGACTCCCCACTAGTGGCGACGCACCTTGGGCGACCTCTGTTAACTCTGCACGACGCCCAGTCCCAGCGCGAGATATGTGTCTACGTCAAGGCGCGCCGAACGACACGGCGTGACGGCGAGCAGGGACACGCGTCGGTGTGCAGAGCACGAAATACCACGTGAGGAGGCGGCTTGTTCCGAACCTAAGTAAGGCAGTCAGAAATTTGAAAGTCGAAGTCCGAATCCTCCTCCTCCTCCTCGTCGCGCAGTCCGATGTGTTTTCTCGATGATGACAGGGCATCTTGGCCACACCGCCCGTAAGTCAACTTATCTCTGCACCAGGCTCTTCGACCTGGTGGCCGGATTTCGACGTTTTGGACCATTCTCTTTTCTTTCGCTGCGGCAGGGGATGAGACCTTGCGATCTGGTGGCTCTCCGCGCCGGTTTGGACACTTTGTGCATTACATGCAAGATGAACCTTACGGGCTTTTCTTTCACGGCAGCAGAGGATGAGCGAAGCCTGTGGTCCAAGTAACAGATGTCACGCTCTCGTCGTCCCATTAATTGTCGACAAGAGAGCCGTCCGAGTCGGTTGCAGTTGCGCACGTCCATCACGTAGCCGACGGAGTCAGGACTTGTGAGTTTCTGCACCATCGAAGCTGCCGGCGGCAGATTGACAGCAGCGTTCCGTCTTCACAGGAAATTGAAGTATCGCACGCTCGTGACGATCGTGCTGCTCACGTTCACTCCCCCCGAAGATCGGGATCCTTCACAGTGTGACAGATCCCTCTCGGTGTCACCAATCCCTCCAAGTAAGTCCTCCAGAACGCGAACATGGTCGCAATACGCGCCTCCGTGCTGCATCCGACGGATAGCGTGCGCAACCGTACGGATCGCGCAACGGTGTGTACAGCGGCACGCTTGGGCAGCACAGTGAGGCCTGGGGAGGTGCTCCCCTGGAGTACTACAGAGGATCGACTCCCTGCTACGAGCACTAATCGATAATCTTCGGTTTACCGTGTGCGGCTGCCAGTGCTCCGCCGGGGTCGACCGGATGTCGTTGCAACTTGGTGACGTACACGCCGCTTCCCCGCGGAATGTCACGGCCAGCGTCAACTGGCTCGGGGCCTGCCGCAAAGGCGGAGTCAAGTTCGCGGCGGCAGGGAATAAACGAAGCCGAATCGTGACAGGTTCAAGTTCTCGTTGCGTTCTGCGGACGGTGGTTCGGAGCGGTGTCGACGTCACCGATTGTGGTGCGTATGGCTCTCAAGCTGTTCAAAACCTCTCCCCCCGTCGATCTGGGTCCTGGCTTCGCCGCTTCGGTCTCTCGCAGACCGAGAGTGGTGCTCTGCACCCACAGAGGCTCAGCTGTCGCTCCGAGCTGGCCGCGCCGCGTTGGGATTCTCCCCATCATTCCAACGTCCACGCGCACGTCCCACCACAACCCCCGGTGTCATCCTCCCTTCCGGTGGGTCCCTGAGAACGCGGACATGTTCGCGGTGCGTGGCTCCAAACGCAGATGCTACATGGCAGAGTGGTCAGTGAAACGGTGTACCTACTGCGGCGCCTGGGCAAAGAGTGATGCCTGGAGAGTTGTTCCCCTCGGTGACGCGCGCCGGGGGATCGACTCTCCGCCGATCGAAGCACCCGGTCAATTTTTGCGTTGCTTGCGTCGACGCCGAGGATGGCGATTCCACGACTTGTGCGTTTCCCCGTAGGCTGCGGCTGTGACGTTGCATGAATCCTTTTTTCTGTGATCGGGGTGTGCGCGTTGACGACAGAATGTGATGATGGCCAGTGCGCTGGGTGCGGGCACGTCGCTGGCCCTGTTACAGACCGTGTCCGGAGTTGAAGTGCTGCCACGCTCGATTTGGTCCGTAGTCGATTTCTGATCACGACGTATGTGGTGGTGCGCATGGGCTGGATTTACAAGCTGGCCTTCTGTCTTGACAGTTTGACAACTTGAGCACGTCCATGCCCACTAATCACGTGTTGCTAGGTTCGACTCGGACACGCGCAGTGCGCACTGCGGTCAACCTCCCGCGTGTGCGGCTCACGGCCTGTCACTTCCCCCCTTCTTGACAGCATGTGGCGATGGCGGTAACTCACAGCTTGAATCTCGATAGGCGTCAGGCTTTCGTTGCGCCGCGCGACGCCCGAAGCGCCCTCATCGAGGCTTGCTCTGTGGTACCCTGGCGTCGTATCCCGCCGCCGCGCGTGATGATCGTGGTCGCCCCGAACACCAGTTCTCCTAGCCATTCCTGGTAATGCGAACACCTTCGCGGTGCGTGGACTTCCTCCCGTCGACTGCTTAACGAAGCGGTCGTAGTCTCCGAACGTGATTGCGGCATGCCCGGGCAACATGGTGCCTGGGGAGTCGCGCCTTCGAAGCGCACCGGGGGATCGATTCTCCGCCACGAGCAGGCAATTTTCCTTTTTGCTGGCTGGGACGAACGTCGAATCTGACGTTGGTTGAGGCGCAGAGGATCGTGTCAGGCCTGCATGTGGTTCTTCTCTGGGATGACGGCGGTTGGGCTCGGACGCCGATTCGCATTCTGAGGCTCCGTCGGCGTACGCGTGAGGCATCCTGGTTGTCGGTCCCGCGTCACCCTCCGACTCGTCACCGAAGAAGCGAACATGGTTGTGGTGCGCGGTGTTATTCCGGCAGATTCAATCACGTCTGCAAGTGTCTCTTCACGGCCCGTTCCATTCCAAGGCATCTGGGGCTCCTCTTGCGTCACAAATCCTCGACCTGTCTGTCGCCCGAGTGGACAAACTCTGCGTCCCCTACTACCGCACCCCCTCTCTGTCTGCATCAGGCCCAGAAATCGTGAATATGTCCGCGGCGCGCATCTGCCTGCGAAAACGGCAGATAGTCAAACGGTCTGTCGTCAGCGGCGTGTACGATGGCGCGTTGGGCAGCGAGTGCAGCCTGGGGACACCCTCCCGGAGCGCTACGGGATCGACTCCCCGCCATTGAGCGGACGATTTTTGCCAGGCAGATCTACAGCACGACGTCTCGATCGTCACTGGCACGGACCGTCTTGTGTGTCTCCCTGCGGCTTGGCATTGGCTCTGGAAGCTCTCGCGGTTGATTTGCTCTGACGGACTCGGACGCCGAGGTGCGTATCGATGTGGGGGAGGCGGCGGAGTTGCGCGGACACGTCGTGAACTCCGCGGCAGGTCGCTTCCGTAGCTCGTGCTCCATTGGCTCCGCGCATATGCACGTGAGCTGCCACGACGGCCTTGCGAACATGTCTGAGGACTCGGACTGTCACGACACGCGTGGGCCATTCAAGGCCTGCGGACACCGAGCGTGTGTCCCCAAGTTGAATCCACTCTCCCGTTCTTCGAGACCCGCTCTGCCCCCTTCCTCTCCACAGCGAGCTGTCGCACACTTATTGAAGCCTCCCCGTCAGGCCCAGCTGTCTGAGACGACGACGGCGCTCACTGGTATGCATACTCCCGGCCGGCTGCATCACCGCCCCTCTTTGAACCGTGTTTGTGTGTCCGCCAGCAGCTGGCGGACGCGCAGACTCAGTTCAAAAGGGGGAGTCTAGCGCTGCCGGCCGAGGTGATCGCAGAGCGGGATCGGCTCCAAGTCGCGCAGGAGGCAGCGGCGCTTTGGACGGAAGTTGTGCAGGAGAGGATGGGAGGGGATGGATGGCGGGCTTGGCGTAGCGCGATTGTTTGTGAGTTGATGCACAAAAGCAGTTTGGGGTTCTGTCTGACTTCGTCCAGCGCTGCGGACGGGATTGGAAAGACTGCGACAGGAAGTCCGCGCAGCGGAAGCGGCCGCTGTTGGTAAATCTGTTGGCATGGTTCGCTGGAACGGGTCTTTACGCAGCCCACTGGTGTGTACAGTAAACCGGATTGAGATACGTTGTAGTGCACGATGCGGCCACACACACAGACTATACTCCGAGCCATACGTCGTTCTGTATTGATCCCTTCAAGCGCTGATCCGCCCTCAGAACGTGACTGTGCGCAGTGCGTGCACACGTCCACTGACGGAAACGAAAAGTCCTTGGAGTCGCCTGGAGTCGCCCATTAACTCGCTCTTTGATCATTTTTGTCGGGTGTCTGGTAAAGATCTGATCTCAGCGCCTGACTTTTGACTCCGCGATGCCGGTTCGCGATCTCCGAGATCTTAAATCGGATGTCATTATGCTTCCGCCCCTTTCGCGAGCTGCCAGCACCGCTCCTCTCCGTGTGTTTCTGAGTCGTCTAAGCTGCGCTCGGTCTGTGATTCTAGGTATATCGATTGGGCATCGGAAAATATGACTGCGGCGCCCGCAATTCCTTGGAGGACGAATCGATGATGCGATTGAAGGCGACGTCACCAAGGTCGCAGGTGAGTCGCAGTGATACGTAGTCGTCTGCCTGCAGAGGGTCACCAACATGGTGCGAGGGCGTCGTCTAGCACGTCAGCAGCTTTGGCTCAAGATGTGTCACGTCGAAGGCGAGCGAGTCTTCTCGGGTGCCGGTTCGCAGTGGCACGGAATATCTGAGCGATGTCGTGCGGGGTGTGTCTCTCGCTTCGTTACGAATTGTCTCCGGGATCGATATCAAGTGGTGACGCGGTGTCCGAATCCGGAGTCCACACGTACTTACTCTACCCTCGATTACGGCGTATGTGACGGTGCTAATAGCGTCCAATTTAGGTTGGCGGCTTCCCAAGGAAGGTCCAGGAGCGTCCGAGTCGTCGACCGCTAATCACGTGTCGCGAGATTCAATACGGACACGCACGCTGCGGTCAACCTCTTGTGCGTGCAGCTTCCAGCTTGGACGTCGCCCTCTCCCCTTCGTGTATGGCATGTAGCGACGGCAGCAACGGAGCTCCAGCGCCGACAGGTGTCAGGATCTCATTGCATCGCGCGGTGCCCATTGCAGCGACGTCGCAGTCGTCTGACTGCCGGGTGCGCCGCGTTGTAAACACGTCAGCAGCTCTGGCTCAAAATACGTCCCGAAAGCGAGCGAGTCCTCTCAGATGCCTTTCCGCGGCAGATGCCCGGGGGATGACAGGCTGTCGTTGCGTCGCCACAGGTGACAGACGGCTGTTCCGGGAAGCGTCGACGTCAATTACGCTTCACCAAGCCGTTCAAGGCCTCTGGACCTGTCGATTCGGCTTCCGCTGTCTCTGTGTCACTGGCAGAAATCGTGTTCCAGCCCAGCTGTCCCTCCGAGTCGTCCGCGTCCCGTTGGGCTCCTCCCCTCGTCCTTGCACGCTCGGCGACATCTTCCTGGGGATACCGATATATTCATGGTACGTGTTCTGCTGGATCATGCGACGTAGCGTAGTGGTCAGCGAAGGGCGGCTCCTGGGCACCGAGTGAGGCCTGGAGAGTTGGTCTTCTGAAGTGCGCCAGGGGATCGATTCTCCGCTGCCCCATGACCAGACCTCACTTTTTTTTCTGCTTGTGTCTCCGCCCAGAACGGTGATTCGCATCGCAGTTCCACGACTTGTCGCGCTTCCCCGCACGTTGGCACGGTCAACTTGAATCGACGCGCAGAACGATGATGACCGGTCCGGGCGCGGGCATGTCGCTGGCTTCATTACACGCCACGGTGTTTTGTTTGTGATCCCTTTATTGTCACTGAGGGCGAAGCCCTCTGTAGACAGTACGTGCTAATTCTAATCAATCGAGTCTCGTGTCCGTTTGTCGCTTAGCATCACCGTCCGCCGGAGCTTCAGGCATGTGTGTAAAACACCACGGTGTTCGGAGTGCAAGTGCTGTCACGTTCAATTCCGTCATGAGACGACCGTGAGATCTGACGTTGGTTGAGGCGCAGGTGACCGTGTCAGACGTACGGCGCTCTCTGTTACGACAGGAATTGGGCTCGGCTGCCCCGACACGATTCGCATCCTGGCTGGCAGTAGTACTTGTCACCCTCCGACTCGTCACCGAAGACGCGAACACGGTCGTTGTATGCGCGATGTCTTTCCGGCAGTGCGGGTGACGTCTACATGTGTCTCTTCTCGACTCACCTCGTTCCAACGCATTTGGGACTTGACTCGCGTCACAGAATGTCGAGCTGCTCGCCGACCGAGTGCACAAAACATGCGGATACGTTCGCGGTGCATACCTCCCTGACAAGTCGGCAGATAGTCAAATGGTCTGCTGCGGCCGTGTACGGTGGAACGCTTGGGCAGCTAGTGGACGCCTGGGAACTCTCCTGTAGCGCTGCGGGATCGACTCCCCTCCATCGAGCGGTTACTTTTGACTCTCCGCGACACGACTTGTCGATCGTCACTGGACCGTCTTGCCATATACTCCCTGCCACTGGTCACCAGTTCCGACAGATCTCACATTTGAGTTGAGCTATTGTGATGGAGTCGGCGCGTATCGATGCGGGGGAGGCGGTGGAGTTGCGCGGACACGTCGTGAACTGCGTGGCAGATCGCTTCCGTAGTTCGCGCCTGTTCGCGCTCCATTGATTCCGTGCACACGCGCATGGGCTGTCATTCATGCCACTGCGGGCTTGCGAACATTTCGGAGGACTCGACCTGTCACGACGCGAGTGGTCGGCTTAAGGCTTGCGGACTTCGAGCGCGTGCGTCCACAGGTTGTGATCACTCTCCCACTTTCCGAGCCGGCACTCGCTCGACAGGCTGCGTACCCCGTCCTCCCTTCGACAGCGGGCTGTCGCACACTAATTGAACACTCACGACGGCAACCATGCACTCCGGGGAGTCTTCTAGCACGACGCTCACTGCCGAGTACCCGTAGGCCTTTCTCCTGCATTAATCACACCGCTCGCGCAGCCTAAATTAACCCACAGGAGCGAACAACCAGCCCCCACGTCTCCGGTTCAACAGCCCGCACCGTCAAAGCGCCCGCGCCCGCCTGTCGCGGGCGATCGTACCGAGCCTGAGAGCAAGCGTCTCGGGCCCTCGTCCGGCGCACGAGCCAATCCAGGTGACCGCAGCGCGGTCAAGGCCGTCACTCGGGGCGCTGCACTCGCTGCGAGACGCGCGCATCTGGTGGCCCTCGGGCGCGACCTGGAGGCCTGCCAGGAAGACATCGCGCAGACGAACGAGCGGCTCGCTCGGTGCGAGGTCCAGCTGTCTGAGACGGTGACGCCGCGCGGGGACGCAGACGCCGAGCTGGCGGACGTGCGGGCTCTGATCGGCGAGGGGCAGGTGCTCCTGGCCGATATGACCGCGGAGCGAGACAAGCTCGCGCAGGAGGCAGCGACGGTTTGAGCGGAGCTTGTGCAGGAGAGGATGTGATACAGGCCCTGCATGACAAAATCGCTTGTGAGTTAATGCACAAAGGCAGGTTTGGGTCTGTCTAACTTCGTCCAGCGCTGCCGGCGTAAGTGGAGAGGTTACGACAAGTCCGGGCAGCGCAAGCGGTCACTGTTGGTAAGCATATTGGGGTGCTTCTCTGGAGCGGGTGCTCACAAAGCCTGTTAGTTCCCCTCCACGACCGGCCGCCTATCGACTTCAATCGGCTTGCGTCGACGCAAGCCGAGGTCGATAGGCGGCCGGTCGCGGAGCGGAACATCCAGAGTGAGCACGATCAAGGATGCGTGCTCATGAATGCTGACCACGAGCGACGAGCAGTCATGTGCGAGAGGTTCGCCCGGGAAATGTGGGATCTGATGGATGAGAGGCTTGATGAGCTGCCGTAGGCGATGTGGTGTTTCTCAGTGATGATGCGCTGACAACACACGGATGTATAGCCCTTTGCCGGCGGCTGGAGGCGCTCACGCTGCACTAGCAGCCGGAGGATGAGCGCGCTGTTCGCAAGCGCAAGGCAAGCTCTGCCCCACCTTGTTGTCTGCCTGGGAGAGGCCTTCGGTGCGTCATTCAAGTTACTTCAGGATGTTCGCGGGCGTGATGATCGGCATCCCAAACGCAGCTGGGAGTCGAGGAGCATCCTCACGCGGCAGGATGGGGTGAGCGCGACGATTGCTCACCTATAGCGTCGGTGTGGATGTTTTCATCCAGCTCGCCGTCGGTGTGTTCAGTGCCCGATTGATATACGTTGTAGTCACGCACGATGCAGCCACACGCAATCTATTCTCAGTTCCTTATACACTGACTATCATTCAGAGTCGGATTAGACACGACATCCTATACTATTGGTTCTTTCAACCGTGACCAGACCTCCGAACTTGTTGTACGCAGCGTGAACACACGACCACTGACGGAAATGTTCCTCAATACGCCCAATAACTCTCTTTTGGTCAGTTTTGTCAGTCTGCGAACCAGTGAAACGGGTGTCTTGGATAGATCTAATCTCAGCGCCTGATTTTGACTCCGCGATGTCGGTTCGTGATCTCCGAGATCAGAAAGCGGATGCAATCTACTGTACCGAAGCCTCAGCCTGTCGTGAGCTGCTACTTAGCACCGCTCGTCCCCGTGTCTCTCTGGGATATGATCCACGCCGCAGCTCTGTCCGTGATTCTGGGCATATCTGGGGCACTGGGAAATATGACTACGGCGCCCGCACCTCCGGGGACTAGGAGTCGATGACACGCAAGGCAGGACGGCTGTCAAGGCCGCAGGTGCGTCGTAGTCGTCTGCCTGCCGAAGGTCAACCGGTCACCGACGTGTTGCAAGAGCGTCGTCAGTACGTCAACAGCTTGGGCTCAAGATATGTCATGAAGGCGAGTGAGTCCGACTCCTCTCGGGTGCCGGCGGTTCACAAGCTACCGTCCTCTATTAGTGCAGAGCCACAAGGAAGGAGCATCCGAGTCGTCGACCGCCAATCACGTGTTGCGAGAATCCACTGGGATGTGCACGCGCTCTCCGGTTGACTCCCGTGCGTGCAGCTTTCAGTGGACGTCTCCCCTCCCTGTGGCGACGGCAGTAACGCAGCTCCAGTGCCGACAGATGTCAGGTTCTCATTGCATCGCGCAGCGTCGATTGCGACATCTGCCCGCTGTCTGTCAGGCCATCATCGAGGCCTTGCCAGCCATCCGCCGAGTTCACCGCCCAGGTGGTACCGTCACTCCACCGACTTGGTCTCACCGATTTTGTGCCAATACCGGCGGCTCTTTTCTGTTGTGACAGGAGTTGGGCTCGGCTGTCCCGACACGGTTCACATTCCGAGGCACCGTCGGCGTGTGCGTGGAGCATCCTGACTGCCACCCTCCAATCCGTCACCGAAGAAGAGAACATAGTCGCGGCGGTGCGCGGTGTCCTTTCGGCGCTGTCAATCGCGTCGAATTTCACGCGTCTCTCTTGGTTCGTTTCGCTCCACAGCATCTGGGGCTTCTCTTGCGTCACAAAAAGTCGAGCTATCAGTCGCCCGAGTGGCCAGAGCCTGCGTTCCCTACTGCTGTGCCCCGTCCCCAGAAATCGTGGATGTGTTCGTGGTGCATACCCCCCAGGAAAGTCGGCAGATAGTCAAATGGTCTGCTGCGGCCGTGTCCGATGGAACGCTTGGGCAGCTAGTGACGCCTGGGGAACTCTCCTGGAGCGCTACGGGATCGACTCCCCCCCATTGAGCGGTTACTTTTTGCATAATCACGACACGACTTCCCGATCATCACTGGACCGTCCGCGTCACTACCAAGGTAATATCATTTCCTCACGCAGAAAAGGCTTCGAAAGTGAAAAAGATCGCTCATGTTTTTCTGATGACATAGACAATGACACCTGGGAAACGCGTCGAAACACGCTTTTCCTAGACCGAGAATGGTGGCTTGTGGTCCGCTTCCCCTGCCCGCGAAGGGATGTGAAAGTGCATTCATTTCGCTGCAACCCTTGTACGTGGAGGAAACGATGATTCTTCTCGGGCGTGTCGATATCTGAGTGAGTCCGTGCATGCTGATTGGTGTGCGCAGTGTGATGGCATTGGCGGGTGAGACGACAGAATTGTGCGGGCACGTCGTGCACTCCGCGACAGATCACTTCCGTATCGCACACTCCATTGGCTCGGTACGCACGCATGAGCTGTCGCAACGGTCGTGCGCACATTTTAAAGTTTACACCCGTCACAACACCAGTGGGCAGGTCATAACCTACCAGTGACAGCGATCACGTGCGTCAATAGGTTGAGTTCGCTCTCCCCGCGTCCGAGCCTGCACCAACTTGACCGCGTACCCCATTCTGACCCTTTTCTCTCGGCAGCAGGCTGTCGCACATTATCGTTTGAACACACACGCCGGCGACTACAATGCAACACTATATCTTAGAGATCCACTACCACGGGCGGAAGGCAGAGCTGGCCCTTTTGCATAGAAACAACCCCCGGTATATCGAAATCTTTCTCCAGGGCGACCTGTGCAGCCTCGAAATCCCGCGCGAGCCTGCGGCCACCGTCGCGAGTTTCTGGCAAGGCGACGTGCCGGTGGTGCGATGCTCGTGGAACGCCGAACATTCCACCGACGACTTGGAGGCTCTCGTGCGTCTCTTCCTCATCTCAGGGAGACCTCCCGCTTACTCCTCGTCCACGCTTTGCAGTATCAGGTGCTAGAAGAGTTTACGCCGACGATGCTGGCAACATGCACGAGGCGGCAGCAAAAAGCGCTCAACGCCACACTGCGGGACCTAAACATGTGAGCGCCATGACCTTGAACACTTCCGGTCTTCGCTAACTTCGGTAGTGCGACGCTTACTGTCGAGTTCAAGTGGGTTCTTCTGCTACATTCGGTGCACCCCTCACGCAGCCTGACGTGACCTACAGGAACGTGTCTCCGGCCCCGGAAGCGCCTGCGGCCCCAGCTCGACAACCTGCACCGCCAAAGCGCCCACGTTCACCTGTCGATGGCGGTCATGCCGAGCCTCAGAACAAGCGTCCTCGACAGGAAGCCTCCGGGGCACAACCCTCCGCTCCCGGAACGCGCCCGACGGCTATGAACACGGCAAGGACTCGTCCCGAGGGTGACAACGCTCCTGCGACAGGCTCTAGGTCTGCTCCTGCTGATGCTGCTCAACCTGCCGGACCTGCTCGCGCTGCTGAGGCTTCTGAGTCTGGGGTGACTAGATCTGCTGCTCGCACTGTGCCCTTGGATACCTTGAACGCTGCTTCTTCGCGGGCTGTTGCGGACGATGTAGTGGTGAAACAAGAAGACGCGGACGACGCCCATGCACTCGGGGGCGCCGCGAAGGAGAACGCACCGCCAGGTCCTCAGGACGCGCCGGGCGATCAGGGCGAGCGCAACAGGGGCGCGACTAGTATCGTCGGCACGCTCAAGACTGCGCTCGACGCTGCGGTCGCTGCAGCAGACGCACACCTGAATGGACTCAGAAGCAACGTGGAAACTCGCGAGCTTGAGACGGCACGACTAAGCAAGCGGTTAGCCCGGCAATCAGCCAAGCTTCGAGCGACGGAGCAGGCGCTCCAGCAGCGGGAGAAGGGTGAGTCTCTCCCTTGTGCAAACCAGGTAGTACTGACAGTGTCGCTTGGTCGCAACGATCTGCAGATGTGGAGGCCGCTGGCGCGCGGAATGACGCGGCGTTGGCACGTGCTGCGAGCGAGGTGTCTGAGGCGAGGGCAAGCGAGAGCGCGACGGCCGCCCAGTTGGCCGAAGCACGGGGCCAGCTGGCCGAAGCGCGGTCCCAGTTCGTGCGTGGGCGTTTGCGGCTGGCGGAGGTGACCGCCGAGCGGGATCGCCTCGCGCAGCTAGTCGCTACGCTCCAGGCAGACATTGCGCGGGATGAAGCGAAGCACGAGGCTGAACTGAAGGCTACGCAGGACATGAATGCTCGTGAGTTGTCGTACGGAGCGGTGTTGGGTTCCGTCTGACTCCTTCCAGTGCTGCGAGCACAAGTAGGCACGCTGCAGTCGGAGGCGCAGGCAGCTCGAACTGGTCAGTATGTTTTCGTGGTTCCTGGGAGCGGGTGTTGACACAGCCCACTAGTGGCTTCGGAGGAACTCCGCCAATCAGAGCTCAGGGTACAAGCTGAGATAGATAAACGACAAGCCGCGGAGCTCAAGATACAAACCGAAGTCGAGAGACGACAAGTCGCAGAGCTTAGCGCTCAGGGTGAGTGGGTTTGCGATCCGTCGTGCCTCCGTGTATGCTGACCACAAGTGACGGGTAGACCTGAGTAAGAAATACGTCCGGACGCAATTGGATCTGCTGGGCGAAATCAATTGTAAGCCGTACTGAGCGTCCATGCATTACTTTTGTCGTGCTGACGATGGACGGATGTACTGTAGTTCTTCGCGAGCAGGCCTATTCATCATCTGCTGCCTATATGGCTATGAGTCAAAGGATGTCCTTGTACGGCTGGAGAGGCTGAGCACAGCGACTGTTGAACTGGAACGGCGGGCCGTTCGTGCGTTCAGAACGCCGTATGTATTCCTATGGTGACGTGCCGTATTGTACGATGCAACCCAACAGACTACTCCCACCGTCATTTATACGTCTCACATCGATTTTGTGTCTCGAATCATCATGTATTCCATATTGTATTGTATTCACAGTGTATTGGCGACATGCGTTGGTCATACTTATCATTAGTCGTCGAGGAACAGTGCAAGGGTACTACGTTTTTGTCAGCTACTTGAGACGACAAGTTCCGGGTCAACGACCGTATGCGTGACGCGACGTGCGTGGTAGCTCAATCGCAGTGACGCAGTGAACGCGAGATGCTCAGTGCACAACGAACATTCGTGTCTCCCGCCGTGTACAATACCCTCTGATTCAAACATGAATCAAGCCACCACGAGGGGGAATCATCGCTGTTACACAGGAAGGTATTAAATCAAGGGACCATACAGGACAACACGTCTCGTGCGGGGAAGCGCAACAGGTCGTGGAGCTGCAACGCGAATCGCCCGCCATCCTGGGCGGAGAGGCAAGCAGAAAAAAAGTGAAGTGAGGTCATGGGGTGGCGGAGAGTCGATCCCCTGGTGCACATCAGGCGACAACTCTCCAGGCTCACTCATTGCCCAGGAGCCACCCATCGCTAACCACTACGCTACGCAGCATGATTCACCACGACACGTACCACAAGTATTCCAGCGTCGGGCCTAGGAAGGATGCGGTCGACTCGGAGGGATAACTGGGCAAGGCTGGACAAAGGCTAGAGCACCATTTCTGCCGGTGTCATCTAAAAGACGGAGGCATCCAAATCGACGGGTCCAGATGCTTTGAACGGCTCGGCGGATCCATACAGTAAGTGTCATAATCGACGTGGACGCTTACCGGAACAGCCGTCTGCGGCGACGCAACGACAGCCTGTCATCCCAGGGCATCCACAAGTTGAGGTTATGTGATTCAAATGACCCACCCGGTTTGCAGGGTCGAACCCCGCTGTGGCCGCTGTGGCGTGACCGCCCCGGGCATGCCTAAGTCGCGTCGCGCACCGTTGTACTATTAGTAGTAGCCCTACTTACTGTACAATCGTGGTATATACTATGTACATCACAGATCCATCAATAGATGCGATCACAAATCATTGTATTGCACTAGCGCATCATTACAATGTACTTATATTAAATCGACTCGGACATCACGAATGTTAGTAACTCGTGTGAGCAAGCTGCAATACAAGTTACTTTGGGGTGTGCACCATCGCGCGACTCCCGGCCCAGTCCTCGCACTCAGCCTGTTAACATCGCGTCCTGGCATTTGTCCCACATCGGCGACTGGTTGCCGATTCTTTAGACACTATCATTTAGACATCCTGTACCGTTGGCCCCTTCTGGCAACCCTGATCAGACCTCAGAACCATACTGTGCGTAGTGCGGGTACACGTCCACTGACGGAAACGGGAACATTCTTCGAGTCTCCCAGTAACTCGGCTTTGATCAGCTATGTAGGTCTGCGAACCAGAGAACAGCGGGTGTCTTGTAAAGATCTGATCTCGGCGCCCGAAAGTGAATTTCCCTGGGCGCCTGACATTTGACTCCGCGACGCCGGTTCGCGATCTCCGAGATGGGCCCTATTCGATTCGAAGATGTGCTTCCGCCCCTGTCGCGAGCTGCCAGCACCCAAATGCAAACTTCTCCCCGTCTCTCAGTCATCCGCACTGCAGCTCAGTAATCTGTGATTCTGGGTATATATAGGCACTGGAAAACTACGACACCTGCGATTCTAGTAGGAGGACGAATCGATGACACGCAAGGCAGGACGGCTGTCAAGTCCGCAGGTGTGTCGTAGTGGTCGTCTACCTGCCGGGGTCACCGACGTGTTGCGAGGGCGTCGTCGATACGTCAGCAGCTCTGGCTCAAGATATATCACGAAGGCCAGCGAGTCCTCTCCGGTGCCGGTTCACAAGCTTGAAACCTCGAGTTGTCGGTCGCCCGAGTGGACGAAGTCTGCGTTCACTACTGCCGTGGCCCCTCTCTATCAGTCCCCAAAACTCGTGGATATGTTCGTTGTACGTATCTATCTGTAAACCCGACAGATAGTCAAACGGTCCGTCGGGTTGAGAGGCGTGTACGGTGGCCCGCGTTGGGCAGCAAGTGAAGCCTGGGGACACTCTCCTGGAGCGCTACAGGATCGACTCCCCGCCACGGATCGAGCAGTCACTTTTTGCATATTCACAGCACGACCTTCAGATCGTCACTTGGCCGTCTTGTATGTCTCCCTGAGACTTGTCGTCGACGCTGGCAGATCTGACAACTAATTTTTGTGGCAGGAGACCACGGCGTCAGTACGTACTATCGGTACACCCATTCCGTGCTGCTGATTGGTGTGGGCGGTGTGATGGCAAGCGAGGCGACGGAGTCGCGCGAGCACGTCGTGAACTCCGCGGCAGACCGCTTCTGTGGTCCGCGCCGCACTCGCTGCGTGCACACGCATATCAAAGTAATGTCTGTGTCACGACGGCCTTGTGAGCGTGTCTGAGGATATGGACCTCCACGGAACGAATGAGGACGGACGGTCCATTGCCTACCAGTGCCATCGATCACGTGTGTCATCAGGTTGAATTCGCTCTCCCGTCCCCCGAGTCGACACCAGCTTCACTGCGCACCCCATTCTAACCCCTTCCTCTCGGCAGCGGGCTGTCGCACATTCTTTCATCATACTCTGCAGCGGCCACCATGGTATACTACGTCTTGGAGGTTCACTACTGCGGAAGGAAGGCAGAGTTGGCCCTTCTGCATAGACGCACCGCCGCTGGGTACGTCGAAACCTTTCTCCAGGACGACCTGCAAAGCCTCGACATCCCGCGCGAACCTGCGGCCATCGTCACGAGTTTCTGGAGAGACGACGTGCCAGTGGTGCGATGCTCGTGGAATGCCGAACATCCCACCGACGACTTGGACGCTCTCGTGTGTCTCTTCCTCGGTCCAGGGAGACTTACCGCTCACTCCCGGTCTACCCTTTGCAGCATCAGGCACTAGTAGTGTTCACGCCAACGGCGCGAGCAATACGCACAACGCGGATGCGTAAAGTACTCAATGACAAACTGCGCGAGTTGCAAATGTGAGTGCAACCACGGTGTATAGTCTGGGTTATGGTTCAAATCGGAGTGTCTTCTAGTACGGTGCTCACTGCCGAGTTCCGGTTGGTTCTATTACTACGTTGATGACATCCCCCACGCAGCCTAACGCGACCCACAGGACTGAACCTGTAGCGGTGAAGCAAGAAGTGGCAGACGACGGCATCGCACTCTGGGGCGCCGCGAAGGAGAACGCACCGCCAGGCCATCAGGACGCGCCGGCCAATCCAGGACATCGCAGCAGAGTCAAGCCCGGCGCTCTGAAGACGGCTCTGGACACTGCAATCGCTGCAGCGGGCGCGCGCCTGGAGGCACTCGGGCGCGACGTGGAGGCCCGCCAGGATGACATAGTCCAGACGGGAGAGTGGCTCGATCAGTATGAGGCACAGCTGCAGGCGAGACAGATGGCGCTTCGCGAGCGTGGGATGGGTCAGTCTCATATTCAGCGCGCCTCGCGAGTGCTAACACTCATTCGCAATGACTCCCAGACTCGGAGACGGCTAACGCGCGGAAGGAGGAGGCGTTGACCCGAGTCGAGGCCCACTTGTCTGAGACGCTGACGGCGCTCAAGCACAGGGACACCCAGATTGCTGACGCACGAACCCAGCGGGCGAAAGTATGGGCCCAGCTGGCAGATAAACAGACCAACTTCGTCAAGGGGCGCATGCAGCTGACCCAAGTGACCGCAGAGCGAGATCTACTCGCGCAGAAGAAAGCGACGCTTCAGGCGGACCTTGTGCAGGCGAGGATGACAGAGGATGAACAACAGGCTCGGCATGACACGATTGCTTGTGAGTTGATTACAAAAGGCAGTTTGGGGTCTGTCTGACCTCATTCAGCGCTGCGGGCGGAATTGGGGACACTGGGACCGGAAGTGCAGGCAGTACGAGCGGCTATTGCTGGTAAACATGTTGGCATGGTTCTCTGGAGTGGGTACTCACAAAACCTACTAGTGACGGAAGAGGAACTTCGCCAGTTGGAGCTCAGCACACAAGCTGAGATCGAAAGGCAAATGATCGTGGAGCGAAACACCCAGAGTGAGTACGACCAATCATGCATGTTCTTGTGTGTACTGATCATGAGCAACGAGCAGTCTTGAGCGAGAAGTTCGTCCAGACACAGTTGGATCTGATGGGCGAGGCTCTTGGTAAGCTGTCCTAGGCGATGCAGTGTTCTCAGTGATTTGACAACACACGGATTTTAGCCCTTCGCCAGCATCTAGACACGCTCATGCAGCAGCTAGAGGATGAACGCGCTGTACGCAGGCGCAATGCGGAAGAGCTATTCTCCACCGGCCACACGGAGGCCTTCGGTGTGTTATCTCCTCATGACGTTCGCGAGCGTGCCCTATTCACGAGTGTCTTCCACATGTAGTGGGGTGTTCTCGCATGGCGGGAGGATGGGCTGCTAGTGCAACGAGTGTTGAGCTGGAACGACGCTATTGACGCTATCAGCCGGTTGGCCGTCAGTGTGTCAAGTAAGCCATGCCCCTACTGTGTTACGTCGTAATACAAACTACAGTCAAACACGGACTACTCTCACCATCCTTCAGGCGTTCATGATCCTTTGAATACCCCTCGAATGTGTATCATCTCGTATTGTAATTTTCCTTTCATGCGATGTAATACCTTTGGTTGGGCTTGATTCGAACAACGTAGTGCGCAGGAGCAGAAGATGCTGGCCCGGGCCAGTGCAATACCCGAGGCTGACACTTCAGATAATTGAGTGGGTATCTTCAACAGTTGACTGTACTAGTAACCAGAGGGACGAGCAGCATTTGAAAGCGATATCCAATATATCACGGCACACACAAGTCATGATCTAAAGCATCTTGCGACCGATTGAGCTACCGTGCGCATATGGTTGCTCGAAGGTCACCTGCCGGTGAGGCCTGAGGTACCCTTCATTGACAGTGCAGCGACGACTGGTGGCGTCGTCCGGTAGCCTCAGGGCAAGACATCCGACAGCACCCAAGGCTTGATCGAGACTGCGAAATGTCCGGAGTGTCTGACAATAGCATACCCATGAACCCTTCTCCGATGGGTATATTTAAATGACAAATAACGCCACGGGCAATACACTATAGTAAGGAAGACATGATGATACGATACACATAATCGATGTGAGATATATAAAGACGGTGAGAGTACTCTGTGTCGGGCTGCGATGTGCACCACGGCGTGGCAACAGCTTACGGGTAGATCTTCATCCTCCTGCCCATAGAGGATGTCCCTCAACTCACCGCTGCATAGGGAACATAGTGGTAAGTAGGCCATCGCGGCCGCGACCGTCGTACAGTAACGACGGACCAGAGGATTCCCTGTGCGCAGCGCGCTCGCCCTCTAGCTGCTGCGTGAACATCTCGACCCGCTCGCGAAGCACTGGATGTCCGTCCGTCGTCAGCGCCATGAGAACGCATCTATCTCCCAGGACAGCTTACCAGAAATGTCGCCTAGCAGATCCAGCTGTGTCCGGACAACCTTCTTGCCAAAGTCTGGCCGTCACTCGTCATCAGCATACACAAGGGCATGACTGATCGTACGCAGACGCACTCTGAGCTTTCAACTCCACGGCCTGTCGTCTGTCGACCACGGCTTGCCGCTTGAGCGTTGAGCGGCGGCGGCCCTCTTCAGTCACTAGGAGGGGTGTGAGTACCAGCTCCGAAACGCCATGACAACATGCTTACGAATAGCGACTGCGTGTATCGCCTCCGCCTCCGGTCGCAGCGCGTCCAATTCAACTCGCAACGCTGGAGGAATTCAGACGGGATCCAACGCTACCCATGCCCATGGACTCACAAGTAATCGTGTCCTGCGTAACTTGCTGTTCGGCTTCGCTCGGCTTCCTCTCCTGCACAGCTTGAAGGTCCGCCTGAAGGGCCGCCACCTCCTGCGCGAGCCGATCCCTCGCTGTGGTCACCTCGGCCAGCCGCATCTGCCCCCTGACGGCCTGGGTCTCGGCGTGGGCCAGCTTCGCCTCCGCCTCCGCTACCTGGGTGGCTGTCTCCGCCAGCTGGGTATCCGGGGCACTCAGCCTTGTCCTCGCCTCGTACAACTGGCCCTCAGCGCGTGTCAGCGCCGCGTCCGTCCGCGCCGCATCTGCCGCCATCTCTGCGGATCGACATCAGCACTGGCCGCAGCGCACGGGAGGAGACTTACCCCTCTCTTGCTCGCGGAGCGCCGCCTCGCTCGCTCGCAGCCGGGCTTCGCGCTGAGTGAGCCGGTCACTCACCCACGCCGTCTCATCCCGGCGGTCCTCGAGATCGCGCTGGAGTTCCTCCAGGCGCGCGTCTGCTGCAGCGGCCGCCTCGTCCAGAGCCGGCTTCAGACTGCCCACAATACTGCCCACAATACTGGGCTCGACTCCGTTGCGATCGCCGGGCGGGACGTTCACGTTCGCGGTGCCGGCGTCGGCACCCCAGAGAGCCTCGGCGTCATCCGGGACTTCTTGCTTCACCGCTACTTCATCCACGTCGGCCCCGTTCGAGATGTCCAGGAGCACAGCGCGAGCAGCAGTTCCAGCCGTCCCAGTGTCAGAAGCCCCAGCAGCGCAAGCAGGTCCGGCAACACCAGTTACATTCTGCGAGGACCCAGTGTCAGGACGAGTGTTCGTGTCAGTAGAGCCTCTTGCAGGAGGATTGACGTCGAGACGAGTCCCAGCATCTGCAGTCGGTTGCGTAGCCGGTGCGGATGTTTGTGTGCTGGACGTGGAAGCTTGCTGCCGTAGTCGTTTCGCCTGGTTCGCAGTGCCACCGCCATTAGTGGGCGAGCGAGCGCGCTTCGACGCTCCAGAGGGCTGAGCTGGGGTTGGAACGGCTTGCGACGCCGGCTCTGTGTCACTGCAAGGTCCATCAGTCTCGCCGACCACCGGTGCTGAGCCGAACGTACGTGATCTCGGCGACAATCTGGGAGCTAGACGTTTCGGCGAGCTGAGCGAGAGTACAGGTCCTTGGGCGGGCGGTGGACTCACATGTTCATTTCGAGCAGTTGGCGTTTGAACGCCTTGCGTTCGTTCTTCGTCTGCGCGTTGACGCGAGCGGGCAAGAGCGCGTCGATCGCCGCGCGCTGAAACGAGGAGTGAGCGATGTGTTCGCCGGCGGTGTAGAGACGGGAGCCTACCAGAGCGTCCGAGGCGTCTCCGCGATGCTCGATATTCCATGCGCACCGTATCGCTGGGACAGAGCCTAGCCAGGAACTGGTGGTGCGAGCCCCAGGTTCGCGAGGGATGCCGAGCTTTACAAGGTCTTCCCTGACGAACCGTTCGATATACTTTGGAGACCGCCGCCTATGGGAAACGGCCAGTTGAGCTTTCACCCCAGAGTACTGGAAGTCCAAGACGTAGTGCTGCATGTTGTTAGTCTGGAAAGTCGTGCACGACAGCCCGCTGCCGAGAGAAGGGGATAGTCTGAGTATGTCGGTAGTGATGATATGTTGCGGACACGACTCACAACGGGTGCGGCAGTGGAACCAAGTAACACACGTGATTGGACTCGCGGACCCAGATCGGCGTCGCTGTCCCTCCTCGCGCGACGGCCCCACGTCACTTCAGATATCTCCCGCATAATCCTTCGCCAGGACGTCCGCATCGTCCACAAGACCTGCGGGCGGCGTGCTGCCATGCGCACGTATCTTGTACCAGCCAGTCACAGCATGAACAAGTTCACAAGCAAAGGCTGCAGCGGGAATCTCGACGTGCTCGTCCTCTGTTGTCGCCGACCATTACATAGTGTACGCCAATCAGCACACCTGCATTACCGACAGCGACGCAAAATGAGGGATCAATATAGCTAAGAAGATGTCGGTCACTACTCAGCGCTCAGCAGCGCCGACTATGCGTCCCATTCACCAAAAGGAAAATTGCCTGCTCGTGGCGGAGAATCGATCCCCCGGTGCGCTTCGAAGGCGCGACTCCCCAGGCACCATGTTGCCCGGGCATGCCGCAATCACGTTCGGAGACTACGACCGCTTCGTTAAACAGTCGACGTGCGGAGTCCACGCACCACGAATGTGTTCGCACTTTCGAGGGCGATATTGACCAGTAAGACTGACATTTTAGACCGCCGCGGTCACGCGTAGCAGCGAGATACGATGCCAGGGTACCACAAGACAAACCTCGACGAGGGCGCCGTCACTGACAGACACAGGACACTGCAGCTGGCAGGCGTCGCGCGAGGCGACGAAAGGCTGACGCCTGTCGAGACTCGAATTTGGTTGCCGTCATCGCCACGCGCTGTCAGGAAAAGGGGCCCGCGGAAGACATCTGGTGTGACAGGCTGAGAGCTGCACATGCGGGAGGTTGACTGCAGCGCGCCCGACAACATGTGACGAGTGGTTATGGACTCCCCTCTCCAAGCCGTCGAGCTGTCAAGACAGAAGGCCAGCCCGTAAATCCAGCCCATGCACCATCACATGCATCGTGATCAGAAGTCGACCATGGACCAAATCGAGTGTGGCACCACTTCAACTCCGGACACGGCCTGTAACGGAGCCAACAATGTGCCCGCGCCCGGACTAGGTCAATTAAAAGTGACCGTGTCAGCGTGCGGGGAAGCGCGGCAAGCCGTGGAGCTGCGATGCGAATCGCCGTCCTGAGGGGAGACGCAGGCAGGAAAAAAAGTGAGGTCTGGTCATGGGGCAGCGGAGAATCGATCCCCTGGCGCACTTCAGGAGACCAACTCTCCAGGCCTCACTCGGTGCCCAGGAGCCGCCCATCGCTAACCGCTACGCTACGCAGCGTACGTCAACAGAACACGCACCACGAGTATCTCGGCGTCGAAGGGATGCCGCTCGAGCATTGAAAGTCGAACGATGAGGGGATCCCAACGGGACGCGGCCGACTCGTAGGTACAGGTGGAGCACCATTTCTGCCAGTGGCATCGAGAAGACGGAGGAAGTACTCTGAATTGACGGGTCCAGATGCTCTGAACGGCTTGGTGGAGCTATACAGTACATACCATAATCGACGTCGACGCTTCCCGGAACAGCCGTCTGCGGCGACGCAACGACAGCCTGTCATCCCCGGGCATCCTCCGCGGAGATTGGCACCCGAGAGGACTCGCTCGCCTTCGTGACATATCTTGAGCCACAGATTCTCCGTCCCGACGACTCGGACGCCCTCACAACACGTCGGCGAGTCGTGACCTGTGACCCCGGCAGGCATTGGCAGACGACTGAGGCTACGACGCACCTGCGGACGTCACAGCCGTCCCGCCTTGCGTGTCATCGATTCATTTTCCTAGGAATCGCAGGTGTCGTATGTTTCCAGTGCCCATAAATACCCAGCATCACCGATAAAGCTGCAGTGGGGACGACTCGGACACACGGAGAGGAGTGCAGGGGGTTGGGAAGCGGATGAATCCGCGTTGGAGGATCTCGGAGATCGCGAACCGGCCTCGCGGAGTCAAAATTAGGCTCTGCCGGTTCAACTCAGCAAGCCGAGATTGGATCTTTACAAGACACCCGTTTCGCAGACTAACAAAACTGGATAAATGGGAGCTATCGGGTAACTCGAAGAACGTGTCCGTTTCCGTCAGTGGGCGTGTGCCCGCACCGTGATGCGCACAGCAAGAAGTTCTGAGGTCTGATCAGGCTTGAAGGGACCAATAGTACAGGACAACGTGTCTAATCCGACTCTACTAGTAAATGATAGTCAGGTGTCTAAAGGACTGTGAGATTAGTCTGTGTGTGGCTGCATCGTGCATTACAACGTATATCAATCGGGCACTGAACACATCGACGACCCACTGGCTGACAACGTCCACAGCGATGCTACAGGTCAGCAACCGTCGCGCTAACACCCTGGCATCCTGCCGCGTGACTCGGAGGACGCCCCTTGACTCCCAGCTGCAAAGGGGACACGTAATGAATAGATCGTCACGCCCGCGAAGGAACCTGAATGACGCACCGAAGGCCTCTCCCCGGGCATCTGCCAAGGTGGGGCATTGCTCCTGTGCCTTCGCAGCGCGCTCGTCCTCCCGCTTCCGCTTAAGCTCCTCCAGCTGCCGTTGAAGGGCTAGACACCGCTACGTTGTCAGCACATCGCTGAGAAACACCGCGTCGCCTAGGGAAGCTTACCAAGCCTAACATCCATCAGATCCCATATTTCCTGGGCGAACTTCTCGCTCATGACTGCTCATCGCTCGTGGTCAGCATATGTGAGTATGGATGATTGATCGTGCTCACTCTGGATGTTCCGCTCCACGACCAGTCGCCGGTCGATCTCAGCTTGAGTTTTGAGCTCCAACTGGTGCAGTTCCTCCTCCGCCACTAGGAGGCTTTATGAGTACCCGCTCCAGAGATCCATGCCGATATGCTTACCAACAGCGGCCGCCTGCGCTGCCCGGACTTGTCGTAACCTCTCCAATTCCACCCGCAGCGCTGGACGAAGTCAGACAAAACCCACGCTGCCTTCGTGCATCAACTCACAAGCGTTCTTGTCATGCAGGGCCTGTATTTTATCCTCTCTCGTCCTCTCCTGCACAAGCTCCGCCCAAACCGTCGCTGCCTCCTGCGCGAGCCGGTCCCGCTCCGCGGTCATACCGGCCAGCAGCACCTGCCCCTCCCCGATCAGAGCCCGCACGTCCGCCAGCAGTGCGCATGCCTCCGCCAGCTCGGTGTCTGCGTCCCCGCGCGGCGTCACCGTCTCAGATAACTGGGCCTCGCACCGAGCGAGCCGCTCGTTCGTCTGCGTGATGTCTTCCTGGCAGGCCTCCAGCTCGCGCCCGAGCTCCACCAGCCGCGCGTGTCTTGCAGCGAGTGCAGCGCAGCGAGTGCCGGCCTTGACCACGCTGCGGTCACCTGCATTGGCTCGTGCGCCGGACGAGGGGCGGAGACGCTTGCTCTCAGGCTCGCCCGCGACAGGCGAGCGCGGGCGCTTTGGCGTTTGAGCCGGGGTCGTGGGGCTGGTTGTTCGCTCCTGTGGGTTGATTTAGGCTGCGTGAGCGGTGTGATTAGTGCAGGAGAACGGCCTACGAGGATTCGGCGGTGAGCGTCGTGCTGGAAGACTCTCTGGAATGCATGGTTGCCGTCGTGAGTGTTCAGTGAGTGAGTGTGCGACAGCCCGCTGTCGAGAGGAGAATGGGGTGTGCGGTCGACTGAGTGCGGCTCGAAGAGTGGGAGAGTGAATTCAACCAGGTGCAGTGCATGCGCGTGTGCATGGAACCAATGCCAGCGTGAACAGGCGCGAGCTACAGAAGCGATCTGCCACGGAGTTCACGACGTGTCCGCGCAACTCCACCGCCTCCCCGCCTCGATACGCGCCGACGCCGTCACAGCAACTCGATTGTGAGATCTGTCAGAGTTGGAGACCAGCGGCAGGGGGCTATGGCAAGACGGTCCAGTGACGATCGACAGGTCGTGCCGCGGATAGTCAAAAAGTAACCGCTCGATGGGAGGGAGTCGATCCCGCAGCGCTACAGGAGAGTTCCCAGGCTTCCACTAGCTGCCCAAGCGTACCACCGGGTACGGCCGCAGCAGACCATTTGACTATCTGCCGACTTTCCTGGGGGGTATGCACCACGAACAAATCCACGATTTTTGGAGACGGGGCACGGCAGTAGTGAACGCAGGCTTTGGCCACTCGGGCGACAGCTCGAGGTTGTGACGCAAGCGAAGTCCCAGATGCGTTGGAGCGAACCGAACCAAGAAGAGACGCGTGAACTTCGACGCGATTGACACTGCCGAAAGGACACCGCGCACCGCGACCATGTTCTCTTCTTCGGTGACGGATTGGAGGGTGGCAGTCACGCGCACGCCGACGGTGCCTCGGAATGTGAAGCGTGTCGGGACAGCCGAGCCCAACTCCTGTCACAACAGAGGAGAGCGGCGTGACAGGGACAGTGAGCATATGATGTCGCTGCAACGGACACCGCGCGATGCAATGAGAACCTGACACCTGTCGGCGCTGGAGCTCCGTTGCTGCCGTCGCCGACCGCATCGAGCGTGACAGCACTTGCACTCCGGATACGCAGGCAGAAAAAAAGTGAGGTCTGGTCATGGGGCAGCGGAGAATCGATCCCCTGGCGCACTTCAGGAGACGCACTCTCCAGGCCGCACTCGGTGCCCAGGAGCCGCCCTTCGCTGACCACTACGCTACGTCGCATGATCCAGCAGAACACGTACCACGAGTATCTCGGCGTCCCCAGGGAGATGTCGCCGAGCGTGCAAGTCGGGCGAGGGGAGGAGCCCAACGGGACGCGACCGACTCGGAGGGACAGCCGGGCTGGAGCGCCATTAATTCTGCCAGAGGGATCGAGGAGGCGGAGGCATCCGGATCGACGCGTCAAGCTGCTTTGAACGGCGTAGTGGCGCCATACAGTGCGTGTCACAATCGACGTCGACGCATCCCGATTTCCGGAACAGCCGTCTACGGCGACGCAACGAAAGCCTGTCATCCCCCGGGCATCGTCCACTGCATGTCGCGGAAGGGCACCCGAGGACCCGCTCACGCCCTTCGTGGCAGTCAAAACTGGCGACGTACTGACGACGCCCTCGCAGCTGATGGTGGCACAGGCAAGCAGACGACGACGACGTACCTGCGAACTTGACTTGAGTCGACCTGCCTTCGTGTCTTCGATTCATATTCCTGGGAGTTGCGAGTGCCGTAGTCGCATATTGCCCAGATATTCACAGAGTCTCAGACAAAGCCGCAGCATGGCTCACTCAGAGAGACACGGAGAGGAGTGCTTTGGGCAGATTTCGGTGCTAGCAGCTCGCGACAGCCGCGGAAGCACATCTTCAAATTGAACCCGCTTCAGGGGATCTCGGAGATCGCGGACCGGCTCGCGGAGTCAAAGATCAGGCGCCCGGCGGCCCATTTTCGTACATACGCCGAGATTGGATCGTTACAAGACTTTAGCTTCTCTGGTTCGCAGACAAAGGCCGGAGTTATTGCAGGCCACTCGAAGACCGTTTCCGTTCCCGTCAGTGGACGTGTGCCCGCTTCCCTACGATGCTGTTGTCGGGCGAACACCTGCAGTCTCACACGGCGCACAACATCGATGACAGACGGTGGACGTCGTGGCGTGCTAGCCTTTCTCGCCGGTCGTCGGACAGCTGGGCCTCCTCCCTCCCAACACCTGGGGCCTGGTCGATGCGCAGGAGGGACGTGCGATGGGTTCGGATTGAGGGGAGCATCATGTGCGTCCTGCTCTACTATAGCGGAGACTCCTCTTCACTGCTAATGTATATGCGCGCGCCTCTGTTTTGTTGGTCGCTTCCGCAGCAAGCAGTCGCCGCTGAGATTCGGGCCGAGAGAAAGTGGAACGCGTCACGATGCACGGCACTGCCAGATGCAAGCGCGACGTCCTCGTCGGGGAGAGGCAAAGACCTGGATAGCTTTCAGCGACCACGTACGCGGATGTGAGCCGACGTTATTTGGTGATCGCTCACGGAGACTGACAGCATCGCAGAGGCAGAGAGTCCATCTTCCGCTCCATTCCGTTCGAGTCCGCCCGCACCGTCGGTTCCGTCGGCTTCAGCATTATCTGCTAAAAATCAAAATTTCTTTCATGCGACACGGCACTTGCAAGGGCGAAACACCACCTCACGCTCACCAGTGGCACTGCTGACGACGCCGTGTTGGGACGTTACACCCGCCATGCCTTCCGTAGCTCTCAGCTGAACACTAAGCGGTCCGCTCCTGTACTCAATCGAGGCTGGGGACCATCCCACATCGGAAAGCGCGCTGGATGGGGATCACAAGGAGCTACGCACGAGAGCGATCTCCATGCGGATCCGCGGGACATCGGCGACTCGGGGAACGCGGACGCTCCGGACGAGTCGGGGAGCATCCTTGACTCGGGTGACGACTGGGTCAGTCTGCGCTCGGCTAGATCTCCTCTCGTTCATGTCAGCCCGGGCAGCCAACGTTCCGCTGCGTCCAGCTCGACGCTTGACGAAGCCACTCTGCGGTCGCATGCGCGGCCGTCTGTTGGCGGTGGTAGTTTCTGGCAGTTCTCCCCTCTGCTTCACGTACCGCCCGGGGATGCCGCACCTCACAGCCGCCCTGCTCCTGCCATCAGAGCCGCCGCTCCCACTTCCGAGGTGAACGTCGGGATGTCGTTCGACTTCGGATCCGAGACGCGCCGTGCGTCTTACTACACCCGACCTCCGCGCGCTGGGCACGGATGGACGGCAGGCCGACGGAGCTCTGCGACTCGCGGCCCAGGATGACGCGGTGCCCGTGCGCCCACCCGCCGCGCTGCAGCTTTCGGGCTTCGACGCGGAACCGCGGCTCGACTCGGGGACGCCGAGCGCGGGATGTCCGTTCTTCGAGCCTCGGTGGCACTACACGCGTCGCGACCGCGACGGCAACACTGTCAGCGTGCGCGCTCAGACCGCCTCCCTCGCTCCGGTTCTCTCGACGGCGGGCTGTCGCGTGCACCCCTCAAGGCTGAACACCATGAGGCACTGCGTCCTGGACATCCAGTACGCTGGGGTGAAAGCTCAGCTGGCCGTCTTCTGTAGGCGGCAGGCCGCCACGGACGTTTGAGAGACTCGTCAGGGGCGACCTGCGCACGCGTGACTTTCAGTCTACTGCATACAAGAACGCAATCTACTGAGGCTCAAGACCAGGAGCCGTATTGCGTCGTATTGTTTCATAGCGAGATTTACTCAGCTGGCTCGCCCCGACAAATGCGGGCGACCAGTGTCAGTGGTAGTTTGCGGGCCCACCAGAGCGACAACGTCCGGATGGCCCGAGACAGCGGCCGCAACTGGCGATGGGGGAGAGATGTCTCGTCCTGCCCGTGATACTAGCTGCACGAGTCTTAAACCTATGCGAAGAAAGGAAGATACGTCCCGGTGGCTCGAGCGCTGCTGCAGAACGTGGCATCTGTATCGGGTCTGACACGAACCGAGTCGCTGATGCGCTGGCTACGGATTACAGGAAGACGACGCGGAGTGTCTAAAGGATGGTGAGAGTAGTAGTTTGTGTTTGGCTAGATTGTGCACTATGACTCATGGCCTATGAATCCTATCAACGGCCCACTGCCTGACAGCGTCCACACACGACGCTGCTCAGCAGTGGTCGTAATAGTACCCCATCCATCTGCCGCGCGAGTGCGCGCCTTGACCCCCGGCTGCGTACAAGGGACAATGATGAGTGGGTCATCACGCCCGCGAACGACATGACGGGATAACGCACCGAGGGTCTCGTGCGCGCCGGCGGCCAGCGCGGAGCATGGCTCTCCTTCCGTGCGCCCGCCGAGCGCAGCGCGCTTGTCCTCTAGCCGCTGCGTGAGCGCCTCGACCTGCTCGCGGAGGGCTATCCGGGTCCGTCCGTCGTCAGCACTCCAGTGGGGCGGCCGCGTCGCCTAGAACGACTTACAAGATCCTTCGGCGAGCAGATCCAACTTTGTCCGGACGAATGTCTTGCCCAGCGCTACCCGCCAGTCGCCGGGCGCATCAGCATACACGAAAGCACGAGGGATCGTGTGCTCACTCACCCTGCGCGTTTCTCTCCACGAGCAGTCGTCTGTCGACCTCAAGCTCCAGCTTAAGCTCCACGAGCAGTCGATTATCAACCTCAGCTTGAGCTCCGATTGACGGAGAGCCTCCGCCGCCAGTAGTACGCCGTATCAGCAGCACCTCTCGGAAACATGAATACGTGCTCACCAGTGGCAGTTTGGGCTGCCTCAAGCTCCAGCCGCGCTGCATCCGCTCGCAGCACTAACGGAAGTCAGGACAGATCTTCGCCGACTCTGCAGACAAACTCACCAGCAATCGTGTCCTGCGCAACTCGCTGTTCGGCGTCGTGGTTCTCCCGCTCCCGCGCAAGGTCCGCTCGAAGCGCGGCTACCTCCTGCGCAAGCAGCTCCGTTTCTGTGGTCACCCCGGTAAGGCGCGCCTGCACCAGTACATCCTGCGCCTTTACATCTGCGAGCTGGGCCTGTGTGTCAGCCAGCTGTGTCTGCGTATCTGCGAGCTGGGTCCGTGCGTCTGTCAATCGCCTCCGTTCGTGCGCTAGCTGGGTCAGTGTGCCTGTCAGCCGGGTCCCTGCATCTGTCAGCTGGTCCGTGCGTGAGCCAGGTTGTTCTGCGTCTCCGCCAGATGGGCCCGCGTCTCCTCCAGGTCGCTCCGTGAGTCCGTGACCTGCGTCCTCGCGTCCAACAACTGGCCCTGAGCGCGCGTCCACATCGCCTTCATCCGCGCGAGCTCCGCCGCCATACCTGCGTATCAGAGTCAAGGATCAGCGACAGGACTAGTAGGATCGCCCCAAAGAGAGAAGCCTGACCGTTCTCCCGCTGGAGGGACGCCGCTTGCCTCGCTGCGAACTCGGCCTCGCGCCGAGCGAGGCGCTCTTCCCGCTCCGTCGTGCGCGCCGCCTCATCCTGGTGGCCCTCCCTTCGAGTTCGTCTATGCGCGCCTCTGCTGCAGCGACCATGGCGGCCATAGCACTACTGAAAGCATCTCCCAGTCCTGTCGTGACCCCGTTGCGGGCACCCGAGTCGGCCTCAGTCCCAGAGCGGGGTGGCGGCAGGTTCTCCTTCGCGGCGAGGGCACCGGCGACTCTGAGAGCCCGAGAGTCGTCCGTGGCTTCTTGTTTCACTGTCACTTCGCTCGCAGCGGCCCGGGAGGATGCAGCGTTAGAGGCCTCCGAGAGTGCAGTACGAGTGGTAGATCGAGCTGCCCCAGATTTAGAATTCCCAGCAGTACGAGCAGTCTGAGCAGGAGTAGCATTGGCCGTCACAGTCTGAGCAGTCTGAGCAGCACCAGTCTGAGCAGTCGAGGCCCAACCCGATCCCGAGGCAGCCTGAGCAAAGCGTGGGGGAATCCGCTGGAAGCGAAGCATGTTGGCGACCCTAGGAGCATGTGGAGGTTCAGGTTGAGCGAAGTGCTGACCACCGTTCGGGTTGAAGCCGGGCGCGACGTTCGGATATGGCGCAGCGACTTCATGAATAGCAGGCAGAGACCCTGAAGCGCCAGCATCGATGCGAAGTCCCCCAGTAGTATCGTGTCGAACCGCCCAAGGTGCGTTATTGATGAACCTGGGGCCATTGAATCGGACCCCTCGCGGATGCAGTTGCGGCGGCAAGGCCTGAGTGCGCTTGCGGTTGTCCCACGAATGGAATCTCGGCGGCATCGGCGGGCGTACGAATTGGCTCGGGGCCTGTTCGGACCACCAGAAGGCTGAGACTGCTGGACTTGCACGCCCTGTAGATCCCGCGCGCGGAGTGAAACGGCACCTGGGCACCAGTCGCGGGTGCCTGCTGCCGAGACGCTTGCTGTCAGGACCGGCGTTGCCACCCTCGGATGGTGAGCGTGCTCGCTTCGTCACTTCAGTAGGACCCGGCGGAGCTGGGACTGAGTGGTCCTGCAGGGCGGAGGCCGGGCGGTTCTGCAGAGCGGATGCTCGGTGGTTCTGCGGAGCGGGTTCTGGGCCGTCCTGCAGAGCGGGGACGAGGGGACGGTTCTGCGCCGCTGGGTCGGGGAGATCTCGCGCAGCTGGTTCCACCTCCCTGCGAGTCCAATGAGTCGACGCGACCACGTTGGGAGCAACGACAGAACGCACCGGATCTCAACATTGACATGTGCGCTGGGCAGTCCCCGACAAGCTGAGTCGCACGCAACTTTGTAGGATAGTACTGGGGGCGTACTCACATGTGCATTTCGGTCAGTTTGCGGTTGAACGCCTTGCGCTGTTTCTTCGTACGTGCTTGGCTCTTGATGGCAAGGATCTCCTCCACCACTTGGCGCTGCGAGTGCAGACGAAGAATCAGGATCGCCCCAACAGCTCTAGAACACGGTGTCGTACCGCAGCATCCGGTTCGGCGTCACGACGCTCGACGTTCCACGTGCATCGTACCACCGGTACAGAGCCTTGCCAGAGACTTGTGACGGTGGGCTCGAACGTGGCGGGAAACCCAAGGCCCAGAAGGTCGTCCTCGATAAACTGCTCGAGAGATCCGGTAGCCCGTCTGTGCGCAGTAGCCAAGTTCGCCTTCTTCCCGGTGTAATGAATGTCTAGAATGTAGTGCTCCATGTTGAAGATGGTCGTTTGTGTATGCTGAAGTAGTAGTATGTGACAGCCTGCTGTCGATAAGGAATTGCTTGACCTATAACCGCAAGCGGGAGAAGATAGTAGAAGTTGAACTTGCGATGCGAGTGCGTTCGAACCCATACGGAGCGACGCACGTGGTGACTGCGAGTTACACGTCCATCAGCGACACCACGATCTGGCACCTGGCGACGATGTGTGATGTGTCCGTGTCGTCGAACTGCATCGATCATTTGTGGCGCCGTACCTTCACGAAAGGCAGCACGTCCTGCTGCTTGTCAGTTGATGAACGGGCCAGTACACCCGGATCTTCGATCGAGGACAGTTCGCAGAATCGCAACCCGACGCGCCACGCAGCGACGATCATACACAGACGCCCACACCAGTGGGCGCAGACGGAAAATCAAAAATTACTGCTCGTAGCAGGGAGTTGATCCTCTGTAGTACTCCAGGGGAGCGACTCCCCAGGCCTCACTGTGCTGCCCAAGCGTGCCGCTGTACACACCGTTGCGCGATCCGTACAGTTGCGCTATCCGTCGGATGCAACAGGGAGGCGTGTATTGCGAACATTTTCGCGTTTTGGAGGCCTGATTTGGAGGGAGGATGACACCTGGCCAAACGACACCGAAATCGGGATGATCCTTCACAGTGAATGTGAGTGGTGCCGTCATGGGAGTTGACGTGGACGACAGGTACGTGCACGGACAAGGAGACGTGGGCAGAGTGTGAAGGAGTCGAACATGCACGTGCGACGGTTGAAATTTTGAACACGACTCTCGGTCTGCCACCAGCAGCGCCGGCGGTGCAGAAGCAAGGTTTCTGAGTCCGTCGGCTACAAGACGGGCAAGTGCAACTGCAGTCGACGTCGTTTGGGACTGCTGTTGACACAATAACAAGACGAAGGCGTGACATCTGCTGTTTGAAGCGCGGGGTTCGCTCGTTTCCTGCCGCCGCAAAAGTGAAGAGAAGCGTAGTTTCCTATGCCATGTCCAAAGCGTCCAAGGCCGGCGCGGCGAGCCAGCATATCAAGAGGTCTGGTGCAGATATAGCCACGCGCACGGTATAACCAAGACGTACGCCCTGTCGCCATCGGAAAACGCCTGGGACTCGGATTGCGCAAAGCCAGAGGTCGCGCCCATTCCCGACGCAAACGCTATGTTGCTCCCCGACCCACAAATGCCTGACGAAATCTCCGCTCGCTGGTCGCTGGAACAGCACGCACACCGGTGAGAATGAATGTCAGCCCGGAAGGCCTCTGGACTCACCCCTAAGCACGATGGCAAGAGTGTGCACGCATCACGACTGTGTCTGTGCGACCATCCACCCAACAAACTAGAAGACGCACCTGATGTGAGAACGAGAGGGGACTCGGGGGCAACTCGGGGGTCACGCATGAATCGGAGTCGATCCTGGTGCGTACTCAGGCTCTCTCGGTGTGTCGTGACATCGTCATGCGAACGTCTGGATCTGACCTCCTCTGGGCGTCGTGCAGAGCTAACAGAGGTCGCCCAAGGTGCGTCGCCACTAGTGGGGAGTCGCCCGTGACACGATACATACCGCTTCTGTTCCATACCTGGGCCGTCCGGTGAACGAGCTCGAGGGTCCTGACTCTTGGGTAGTTCGCAGAGCTTGACAGAGGTAGTCTCCCCAGGCAGACGTAGACAATCCCTTCAACCTTCGTGCACCGTGCCTCCGGATATCGACGACAGAGTATCCGTGGCACGGGCATGCGCATTATTTTATTTCAATCTCGATCGCGGGATTTGCCGTGGCCTAATGCGCAACTTACATCCAACTTACATCCTCTTGCAAGGGGTTGTCCTCTTCCTGCTCTTCCCGCTCTTCCTGCTCCTCCTTCCTCCTCGATTCCACTGATACCTGCACTCGCGATGGCGGTCACGATGCTCATTCAGTATAGAGCGGACAAGGCTCGTCTGTTCAATATATACCAAGAGGACGCGGAACGGTACCTAGCGGGCTTCTTGGAGACGACTTGCGGACGTTGGGGCTGCCGATGCCACACGAATGTGTCTTCAAGTCGTGGCGCACAGGATTTGTCCTGTGCAATTGGGACGCGGCGGATGGCAGCGTGTGTTTGTTTCGCTCTAGGTATGTCTCCGACTCTGATCAGACCCACAGTCGTTGCACCGGCAGCTCATCGCTGCCTTCCAAGACATTCGCAGATCCACGAGGTCGTTTCCGGATCTGTTCATGTGAGCTGTCGTACGCTACATCACAGCATCCTACGCTTCACACCGTCCCCTTCGTCAGTGGGAGGATCGAACTACATGACGGGTGGGTCGGGACGTCGCGTGTACGAGGCGCGTCGCTCATGGCTGGTCTGCTAGCGGATCGCGGACGGTCGCCTCCGCGCCCTTCGCTTATAAAAGACAGAAAAAGGCATCTGCGCACACACGCGATGTGCCTGCCCCAGGCCCCGGCAAGGCCCCCACCGCGCCCAAGTCGACGCTCCTCGCGAGACATGCGAGTTCGCCGCTGGCGCGACCAATGGCACCGTCACACCAGTGTAGGTTCCGTGCCTATTCTCTGAATAGTGTCTGTGCTGAGCACCTAGTCAAGACCACACAAATCACTTCGTTCCCAGGTTCCACGGCGAGGCTGACAGCTCCACAGATGAACGTTCCGCCGCTCCCAAGGAAACACCTTCGTCGACAGGCCTGCGTCCGGTACCGCAGCGTTCAGTGCCCCAGCATCCGGCGTGGGGTTCGCGTCCCTTCGAAAACTACAGAGTTGCCTGCGGCCACCGCTAACGGGACAACGTCCGCACGGCCACAAGGCTTCGTAGTCCCCAAGGTCGAGGAGGAGAGCCACGACGCTATCCTGCACAGCAGTCCTCCAGCCCTGAAGGACCGTCGCAGGAGTCTCCTCGACGCGGCCTCTTCCCTCCTCCCAGCGCCTCGTACGCGTTTGCGAAGAGCTCCCGCTCAAGTCCGTCGCCCTCGCGCGCGAGCCACGGGTCCTCTGCGTCGTCGATGTTCTCGGCCAGGAGCTCGGCGACGAGCATGTCCAGCATCAGCACGACGGCGTCGGACGTGGGTACGCTGATGCGCGAGGTGTGGGATGTGCGTCGGGAGATGGCGGCGCTGCGTGCGCGGGAGCGGCGCTGGTGCAGCGGCTGGAGCAGGGAAACGCGCGCCCGGGAGAGGTGCCTCTGCGTGCGCGGGAGCGGCCATGGACTTCGGAAGGACGTGGAATGCGTTCAGGGCTGAAGGTAGTGCAGCAGGTAAGCAGAGGACGTGGCAGCGGGAGAGATGGATGTGGCAAGGAAGGACGGGGGCGCTTGCCGGGAGCTGGCGCCGAGACCGCGTTGCGACGGGGCTTAGCGGGCGAATGGGGAGACGGAGATGGACCGTCAATAATTCGTGAGTCTGTGCACATCCTAGGGTATAGATGACGCGTTGGACTCGTCCTAGGGTATAAATGCCGTCGTGCACTCGTCCTAGGTGTAGGGCGCTGGACTCGTCCTGGACACATTGGGCGCACTTCCAGCAGGGCACACGGGCCGTAGGATACAGCTCTCATTGTATTCTAACGGATTCGGAGAGAAATGACATCGATTTTCAGCTACCCCTGTCCGTCCGCTTCCACAAGTCTCAGCCACACTCTATATTCGCCCTCGGAGTCGATCTCGATCAGATCACGATGCTCGCCGCTGTCTTTGCCACCGCCGAACTTCGGCGGTCGCAACTCCACCTCGCCGACCGACGCTGTGTACAGGACTTCCACGGGTGCCTTGTCCCGACGTCTGCGAGTAATCGCGAAACAGACGAGATAAGTACCGGCAGCCCTACTCGTCTGCCGCGTTCGTCGGCAGCATTGACAGGACTCACCAAATTACCCTTGCCCACCACGAAACTCGGGTCGTCTACCGAGCGCAGTCCCTGCGAGGCCATCTGCCGGTACACAGACCGAGCCGAGCTCACTGTTTCCTTGCACTAGGTGAGTACACCCATATGTGACTTCCGAGCCATGTTACTCACCTGCGAGCCTACCGCCTGTCGCGTTAGTACCCCTTTGTGTCGCCGTCCCCTCGTCAGAGCGCGACGTCCGCGGGCCTACCATGAAGCTCCAGTCCCGACCGGCAAACTGACTTGCATACTGTCAGCAAGCAGCATGGAACATCACGCGTGCTTTGTACTCACCGTACGCTCCGGGCCTGTGATCACTCCCGCGTTCGCCCGCCGCCGGTGTAGGTCGACCGCGATTCTCTGGAGCAACAAAGTCGGGTCTGGGGCCTGGGCGTGAGACTTGACGTGCGCGTCGGCTCGATTAACGCGTACCGGAGTTGCCTGCCCCAAGCCTTCTGTCGACTGGGCTCGGAGAGTAGCCACAAGGAGACCGCCGTCCCCGCTCTCAAGGGTTTCTGGACAGCCAGTAAGTCAAGCCCTCACGCAACCATCGAGATACGCACTTACCATATCATCGGACGCGCAGAAACTAACCACGAGATCCCAGGACTCTACGCCGACGACCAGAGTGGTATCTTCGTCAGCTGCGCTTGAGGGGTACCACCGACCGGCGGAGTGAGATTCAACACCGGGAAACGTGAGTTTGAGGACGTCGCACACACGAGTGGCCCGCATTGACCACATACAGTGTCGGGGAACGTACGCAGCGCGAGACTACGCAGCACGCGGAGATGTGTTCAGCAGCTCCTTCCGGTCTGGCTGGACGAAGTTCCCGGCCGCTCCGTACGTCCTCTCACGCGTACGGTCTCGGGGGACGAGCCGTGTAGACCGGTTGTTGCGAGGGCGCAGCCGCAACGTCGGACTCGTGCGAGGTGGAAGATCAACACCAACACGTCGGTGGCTGACCGGAGGTACGGGACGGCTGTGCAGCGGACAGGAGTCCGGGCTCGGGGCGCGATCTGTCGAAAGCGAGCTGGACACATAGATCACCAGCTCGTGATTCGGGCTATGCTACAGAGTCGGCACACGGACGCCCAACGACTGCACCGCGAAGATAGGCGGGTACGTCGTGTGTCCACGTCGCCAGCTGCGTGACCGGCGTCGGCAAGGGAGCAGACATCCCTGTGTGACTCGGGATGTCGCGATAGACGCCCTCCGAGGTAGCTGGTCGACGAGATGGTGCCGGTACGCGTTTGTGAACGGGAGAGGGCTAATGGAAGGTAGTGACGCGCTGTCACCAGTGATATGACAGTGTCGGACACCGGGCTAGAGGTCCCGGTTGCTGCCTCAATCCCGCGACATCCAGACTGACGAGGTGGACGCGGCCAGTACAAACACGCCGTGTGTGCGTCCACATGCGATTGTCGTAGAAGACAGGTGGTCGACGGATGGAGACTGGGTGCACGGCAAAGGTGTCGAGGACCGCAATTGTCGCTAGATATGTGCCTAGGACGTTCCACGTCAGCAGGGGAGCAGACACCTTCACGAGACTCGTGTAGACAGACTCCGGGGCTGCCGACGTGCGAGGTAGAGGTGAGATGTGACCGGGAACAAGAGGTGAGGTGACAGGAGAAGGCTGACATAGGTGATATTACAGTGTCGGAAAATGGGCCGTCTTCTGCATTGGCAGTGAAGTTGAGCACGACGCATCGACGTTGAGGAGGGGTGGTTGGTAGGAAGAGGAGACGCCCGTCCCGAGCCGCGACAGTCAAGGAGGGCACGAAGGGGGTGAGCTAGATGTCCGATGTTGAGACCATGGCTTGAGCGACGGCGGGCACGGCAGCAGAGGCGCGGGGCGGGAGAGGTTCCGTCTTCGGATTGGGAGCACCGAATGACTGCCCCTGAGAGCAAACACATTTCCGTGCACCCACAATCGAACATCGCGTGACGGTCTTCGCTGCTCTTATATGACAAAAGTGAGTGGTCAGTTTGAAGAGTCAGACAATGTGACTCACTGACACCCTACTCGTCTGCCGGGCTGTTCGATAACTTTGTAGACTACAATCGCTTTTGCTGTCCAGTCCTCCGACGACCTCGCGGCCCTCACCGGCCACTGTCCAAGTACATGCGACTCGATCAAACTGGCACACGTTTGAGCCGCCAGTGACCGAGTGTGGAAACACTCGTCGTCGCTCGAACTGTAGGCGGCACCATTGCTAAATCGGTAAGCAGGTATGTCGGTGGGTTCTGGACGAGAATGCTCACCTCTTTGTCTACTTAATACATGCCGTAGGATCATTCACGGCTCACTTCCACCCATACTTCTCGGCCCATAGAGTCCCGTCGAGCGTAACATTGCCTTGATGTTGCGCAGATGCAATGCATAGTCAAGCTGCAGCAGTGCCATCTTCGCTGACCGGAGACAGTGAGTACGCTTTTCTTCGTGACAATGAATGGTCATTTCTTACTGACCTGTTGCCTCACTCGTCTCGTGTGTACCTCTTGTGGCCTGGTATCCATGTTGAGGTCGTCCGCCGAGCTGCAAGTATTATCAGGTAAGCAAATGGTCAGCAAAGCTCGGAAAATACTCAGACTTGCCTGCAATCCTGTCTGTCCAATCTGTTGCTTACTACGGAGTCGAGTTTGCAGGTAGGGAGCTCCGAGTCTGCGTCGGTGAACGGGAATGGAGGCCACGCAAACACTATATTCCTGACTAACCAATCTGCATCTTCCACACCGGTGCGTAGCAACCCACAGCGGTGCTGATGCTTTCGGCGAAGGTTCCATTGATTTCGGCATGTTTCACCTCACCTGTGACCCTACTCATCTGCCGTGTTCTCACGCAGTTCTGAGCCTGTCTTCTGCTCAAATCCTTGTGGTTTCAAAATCATATTCAAGAGTTCCCCATGAGATGATTGGTAGCCACTTACTGATGTATATCCTGATGTAGCAGGCTGCTGGGTGACGTCCTGAGTGAGATTCACAAGCAAACAACCTTTTGGGGCAACAGCGAAAGACTCGGAACGTGACTCTGACCACTTCCCAATCAGCTTGTGTCCGATCAGTGATGCTTCTCTATGCTACCCGCCGGACCTGGCCCGGCAACCTACCATATCCCGTTCGCTTGGAACCAAGATTAGCAACAGGCTTCGGTCCAGTAACTTGGAATCAGTGGTCTCCCCTTCCCTGAACTCATTTCCTGAAGCCTCAGTTAGGATAGTAGCCCCGTTGACCATCGTGTCACACTGACAGAACAAGTGCCAGTTTGTATGAGACAGCATCCTGAGGGAGCTTCGTCACTGAGTACTTTACTAGGTAACATCTCCTCGGGCTTGCCCAAGGTGTGACACCGGTCTTTGATTGATGTACAAGATTACCCGCCTTGGATACCGCCGAACACACGAGTGCACAAGTTGATCCTGGCTCTTGTGCTCTCGACGGTTGCCCGACTCGGACCCTACCGGATGTTCTAGAGTCTAGAGTATTTGTCACGAAGGCACCGGCAACACGGTACTTACTCCAATGTCCTCGCCTAGCTGACCAGCAATGCATGCTGATCTGACCACGACCTTACCATTCAGACACCGCCGTCATTGTTTGCGAGTGTAGCAGGCGTCAGCGCTAACTCGGAGTCGTCGCGATTGAGTCGAGTGGTAGTGGAAGGTTATTGTTGGTGCTTGAGTGCCCAAGGACAGCCGCAGATGAGTCCCAGTTCCTGCACTTGTAGATTTCTTAGTGTGTGTTGTGAGAAGCATGGACAACGGTCACAGAGGCGGGGCAAGAGCCGCCGGTGCTTGAAGGCCCAAGGGATTGAGATCGCTCGAGCACGATCTGAAGACACGAGGCTCTCAACCGCTGTGGCTGTGGGCGCCTGTTTTACGCCCGTTCATGTTTGGCTCTCCTTCTCATCCTATGACTTGTCCTCACCTGGTGGTACATAAAAGTTCTCTAGGATATGTGATACCTCTTTTGCATATCTTTCTCAAATGAATTCTCGCCCGCGTGCAGTGTCAATTCTCCCGATGAGATGACCCTGCCAGTGCTGGGAGCTCGCCACGAAGACACTTACGGATCGCAGCTGCGAGAGAATATCGCATCACCGGTTTCGCTGTACAAGCGCCAATCATAGCAAACATGTGTCAAGCAGGAACCTCGCAACCTGGGAAGACGGGAATTCTCCGGTGATTCGGAAATGGCTTACCACTGTACCCGGTAAGTGCAGCCCGCCTTCATTGCTATTGGACAC